CCAGGCGGAAGTGCCTTGGTGAATATATCAGCAGTGTTGGCCTGAGTGGCCACGTGAGCAAGACGAAGCTGACCACGCTGCTGCAACTCTCGAGCAAGGAAGTAACGCAGAGCGATGTGCTTCGTTTTGTCCTCCAGTTTGTGCTCCTGACACAAGGCAGTGGCGGCCTTGTTGTCTACGTACAGCACTGGAGGAGAACGAGGCCGCTCTCCCAAGTCGGCTAGCAGGTAGGTAAGCCAGCGTAACTCCTGTGCAGCCATGGTTGTGGCGTAGATCTCAGCCTCGCAACTGGAGCTGAGAACAGAGGAAGAGTGTGTAGACCGCCAAGAAACAGAGCCAGAGCCAAGGCTGAAGGTGTAACCCTATGACGACCGCTGCGTAGCCTGGTCGTCAACCCAAGAAGCGTCTGAGTGACCAGTGAGGACAACGTGACAGCGGCCTGGCAGGGCCGCGACAGTGGCAGGGAGGGGCCGCGACCGCGACCTAGCGGGGCCGCGTTGGCGGCAGGGTGGGCCGCGTCAGCAGCAGGGCGGGGCCGCGACAGCTGCCTGGCGGGGCCGCGACAGTGGCAGGGAGGGGCCGCGACCGCGACCTGGCGGGGCCGCGTCGGCTGCAGGGCGGGCCGCGTCAGCAGCAGGGCGGGGCCGCGACAGCGGCCTGGCGGGGCCGCGTCAGCGGCAGGGCGGGGCCGCGACTGCGACCTGGCGGGGCCGCGTCGGCTGCAAGGCGGGTCGCGTCAGCAGCAGGGCGGGGCCGCGACAGCGGCCTGGCGGGGCCGCGACAGCGGCAGGGCGGGGCTGCAACCCCGACCTGGCGGGGCCGCGTCGGCTGCAGGGCGGGCCACGTCAGCAGCAGGGCGGGGCCGCGACAACGGCCTGGTGGGGCCGCATCGGCTGCAGGGCGGGGCGGTGCTCTGGCCTAACGGCCTGCAGGGGCGGCTCGCGGGCCTGACGGGCCTGCAGGGGCGGCACGCTGGCCTTACGGGCCTGCAGGGGCGTCACGCTGGCCTTACGTGTCTGCAGGGCGGTGCGTGCGTAGCTAGGGCAACAGTAGGCAGCTCGAGGGCTGCAGGACGGCGCGCACAGCGCAGCACGTCATAAGGCAAGGCAGGGGAAGGCGCGCGTAGGACAACATGTGGAGTAGCGCGGTAACCGCAACGGTAGGTGGGCCCGGAAAAAAAAAGACGGTCCTACGGACCTAGTGCTCTGATACCATGTTAGAATCAGGTGGCAGGAATGGATTGACTAGATCAGGGTTTGGTACAAATATGAAACCCTAATGGGGTTGTACCCCATATTGGCTACCCCACTACAGCCTACACATATATAACATGCATATAATCTGACACTTTTTTGTCATTAGCGGTAGTCAACTTCAGCGCAAAAAATTCTCTGTCGCGGATCTCAGAGAGAGGGATGTTGGTCCCAGGGATGGTTCCAGGAACGAAGGTGGGTTCGCGCGGTTCGGGAGCGGGTCCGTAGACAGTGCGACGTGGGGTTGACGGCTCGTTGCCCCAGTCGATGGTATCCCATGGATCGCGACGCGGTGGGTTGTCAGGAGGAGGTAATACGAGTGGAGCGTGGCGCGGGGGACGACCAAGAGGAACAACTGCAGGTGTTGCCTCTGTTTCCTCTGCTTCATCCTCTCCCCCCTTTTGCTCTTCGCGGAAAGTCCCCCAGCCGCTGTTGTCGGCGCCAGTTGCGGCCCCCCATCCCCTGCTTGCGTTGGCCCTGGTTGCGCCGCTGGTTCCCCATCCGCCGGTATCACTCGTTCCCCATCCACCAACGCTTCCCCACCCCCCTTCGTTGGAGGCGCTTTCCTCCGCTTCGGCTCCCCATGCACCGCAAGCGAATGTCTCGCGTGCTTCGGCGATGCTTTGTTGGCGAAGCTCCTCAGCTTCGCGCCGCGCCGATTCTTCTTCGTCTTCTACGGTGAGTTTCTTCGACGAGTCGCGCTGATGGGAGTAAATGTCCAGATACTTCTCGTAGGTGTAGGGTCAAGGCACGCCATTGGCATCGAAGGTGCCGACGCCAGTTCCGCGCAGCATGCCTTGAAGGTGTTGTGAGGGGGAACCGATGAGAGGATGCTCTGGCGTGCCGAACACGCCGTGCGTGGTGACTTCAAGTTCGAGTTGCGACAATCCTTCTTCTGGTGGCGCGTGGCGCTCTGCTTCGGCGATGGCGGCGAGTCCGCGGCCGGCAATTGCGCTAGTCGACGCCGTTGGCGTGTGACAATCCCTGCAGATGCCGTTTGCGTCAGGGTCGTGCAGCGCCGTTTCGCGTGGGTGGGGATGATGCGGCACCCAGGGTCTGCCGTCAGTGTGCTTCCAATCCCTGCGGTGGATGTGCTCGAACCGCAGTGGCACGAGATCGATTAACTCGTGCGAGTCGCCGCTGCAGTCGGGAATGTTGAAGTCCAGGACATACACTCCATTTTCGGAGTGCGCTCGCCCGATCTGCCTGCGGGGGAAGTTTCGTGATTCGTAGTGCAGCAGGATGTCGCGTGTCTCGCCGTGCTGAGGTCGACGCCGCAGTCCATGAGTTGTGCGGCAGAGAGCAGATTGAAGCGTAGGTTCTGGACGATCAGCACATCGTTGAGTGTAATATGCGTGCGGCTCCCGCGTGCCTTGAGCACGACGATGCCTTGCGCGCTTGAGCGCAGGCGTGTGTTGTTGGCCACGGTGACGTAACTGACTGTGGGGGTGGCGACGGCGTTGGATATGTAACGCTCAGAGCCCACCATATGCTGGTCGCAACAGCTGTCCAGGTACCAAGTGTTGTAGCGCTTGTTGTCATCACGTGCGAGCAGCGCCAGTCGCGGCGTGACGATGTGCGGAGTGTCGAACTTCAGAAATTGCTCGCACGAGAGCCAATCAAGTGGCGCCACCCACATATCAGGTATGTACGGGGGACTTTCAAGCAGCGGGATTGGAAGGTTCCAGTCCTGGTCGTTGCCGTCGGTGAAGTCGTGGCGCGGACTGAACGGGTTGTTGTTGGAGAACGCGCCAGTGGGATGCGGTGCTGGCTCAGGTGAAGGTGAGCGCACGCGGCGACGACGCGACTCGCTTGTCATGGCCATGTTGCTCATGACGTTGCGTACTGGGGCAGTCGATGACGGCTGCTGCTGCTGATGCTGAACCGCTGGGTTCAGGTTACGCGCGGGTGGGGGTTGATACCCCTGGGCTGGACGCACGTCGCCTCGTGCGTCTTGTCGGCCGGACCAGTTGCTCGGATTGGTCTGGCGAGGGCGAGATCGGGACTTGCATCGATCCGCCAAATGCTCAAAGTTTCTGCAGATTTTGCAGTAGAGGCGCCGCGGCCTTCGCTCTTCGTTGTTGTCGGCGTAGAAGGCGAGACGTTTACGTTCTCGTCGTGGCGCTGGTCGCTGCTGATCCATATCCCTTTGTTCGACGAGAAGGGCGGCGCAAAGGGCGGCCTCCGAGACGACCCCCTGCTGTCGGAGAAGCGCCTTGCAGGGCCGCCACTCTGGGCCGAGCCCTTGAAGCACGATATTCACGAAGATTTCTTCCGAAATCGAACTTCCCAACTTCGCGATTTGGTCGCGAAGACTCCGACAACGTTGATGTAGCTATTGGCCTTCTCCCCTGGGGCCATTTTGGTTTCCAGTAGCTGCCGGCCTTGGCGTCGTCGGTGTCCTCAGCGGGCTCCGCGTAACTCTCGTCGAAATAGTGAAAAAACTGAGCGTTCTGCAGCAGGAGCTCCAGCTCGAAGCTCCAAGTATAGAAATCTCTGCCGTCAAAACACACACTTGTCTTTATTTTTGATATGCTGAGAAACCTTGATTGCGCAGAGAGAATTGCCTCTTCACTGGGACGGAGAGTCTTGGGGGTTGAACCATTTGTGTCGAGGGAGAATGTGTGCGGAGCGGCGTTCTGGCCAGTTGGGGCCGGTTGAGAAGGTTGCGAGGATGTTCCCGCGTCGCCGTTCCGCAATGTTTGGAGCCCTTGCTCCAAGCTGGTGAGTCACTGAAGAAGTTGTGCGAGGACTTCGGTACCGATCGTCGTTGTTTCCTCGCTTGTCGCAGCCGGGTTGGGTTGCGCTTCAGCCGCCAGATTGGTCTGACCACCAGATCCTCCGGCCATTCTTACACGCGAGCGTGTGCCGGACGCCACTTTCCGAATGTCGTAATTTTCGGGAGTGGCAGTGCGAAGGATTCCCGAGTTGCTCTCATACCATGCTGCGATCAGAATATGATCGCTACCAGGATCTCCTCAGGAAGGTTCGCACGCAGGTAGATAGAATAGGTGGGCCCTTGACCTCAATAGCAGAGTGAATGTAAAATGCTTGAGATGACTAAGACATGCAAATACAACGATATAAATAAGAGTACATGGGAATACGATTCGACCTAGCAAGCCATGTATTCTAAGGGGTACATTCCCTTATTCAAATTCATTCCCAACCGTGCGGCGCGTACAGTTGCGAAACTGTTCCCGCCAAAACCCTCCTGCCTGCAGCTGCCCGATGTCGTCTGCTCCGACGGTCCAGATGCATCTCAACCGTCTGACATTTCGAGTCAACTCTGACTCTTCACATTCGTTCCCGATATTGCATGCTTCTTTAGCTGCGGTCGGGAGTGCACTGCAATCTTCATTCATTGCTATTCGTAACAGGGAAGAATGACCCCCAACCCACATTATATATTCGGAGAAGGCGAGTAGCGCACTTCGACGATGCACAAGATTGCGTTACAGTCAGCTTCGCTTTCACAATACACAAATTTGAAAGCGATAAACGCTTAGAATTTTTTCATATTTTGAAGTTATGGATTCAGCATGAAAAATATAACCTGGATTTAGGAAGAAGACCTGAATGGAGTGTCCCACAAGGTGCATCAACGTGTTTAAGATTGGACAGGGTATTCTGCAATAAAATACATTGAGACCCGCCATCAACTCTGTGGTCTACTGTCCAGCAAATACATTCTGTGCAATGCAGATTCATTCCCTGTACACCCATGTAAGCTACACTTATCTCCAATCAATTGGCGCCAAACCCCACTGTCTTCTTGGCCTGCGTCAAAGATCCCATCCGCTGCAGGCCACTCTCCCCTCCCCTCCCGCCCACGCCTCTCCCCATACTTCCCCCCACATCATTCCCGCCACTATCCCCTGGCACACACGAGCTCGTTCGTCTCAGGCAGGATTTGAGCCCTGGACCACCACCACCACCACCACCCATGCTGCTTCCGCCTCTTCCACCATCTACACCTCCAAATTCACCACTAATACAACTACTATCCTGCTGAAACTCACTGATCTGAGCCGCGGATGCTCCTGGTTGCACTCCAGAGGAGCCTCTGACCAATCGCACAGATGGTTTATCCGCAGAAGAAACATTCACATTAGAGTCACGTCCGCCAAAGTCACCTTGGACAGAGCTAGAGCGCTGGTGCACCGCCCGCCCGAAGCCCACCCTCCCAGGCAAGGGGGGTACAGGCGTTGGGGAGGAGGCAGCATGCCCCTGGCCATAGCTGTTACCGCCCCGTTCCTGGTTACCACCCCTCTCCTGGTTACCACCAAGGCCACCACCAGTCTCCGCTGCAGCAGCCATGGCAGCGCGCAGGGCAAGCTGCTCCTTAGAGATTTGCCGCATGAGTGGACCCATGCGGATGCCTGATGGGTGGAACAGAGGTGCGGGGGCGGGCGGCAGGTTTGCGGATGGCATGGGCGGCATGGGCTGATTAGCTGGGGCGGATTGCATGGGGGGAGGTGCGTATGAGGGTGGTGCTTGTGGCATGGGCTTTTGAGAGGCGGGTCGCGAAGGCTGCGAGTTGTTGCAGTTACTGGTGTTACTGACGCCGCCTACGTTCGCAAGGATGACCTGCCCTGGCTGGGACTGCGACCTCTGCAGTGGCGACTTGCGAAGTGGTGGTAACTGGTTACCACCCGGTGGCAGGCTACCCTGGGACACCAGCCTACCAGGCGAATTTCCACCTGAGTTCCCACCTGAAATTCCGCCTGAACCTGCACCAACTCTGCGTCTGACCGTTGGATCAAGACCACCAGAGCCCGAGGAAGGGTTCAGATGCACAGACGCGGGAATCCCTTCAGCACCACTGGGACCGAAGCTCACCCCTATATCCTCCCATCCATACCCCTCCATCTCCTCCTCCGCCTCCTCCGCTTCCCCCTCCTCCCACTCGCACTCCCCTCTCTCCCGCCCCTCACTGTAGAAATCGTCCGCGCCCGTTGCGCATCCCCCTGCGCCTTGACGCGCCCAGCTTTCTCCTGCGCCTGCTCTCAGTCCCGCGCTCTCCTCGTTCCGCCGCGCCCCGCTCCCGCGCCCCCCGCTGGGCGGGCGCGCAGCTTGCTGCGCCACGGGGTACCCGGCGGGCGCGGAACCCGCGGAGCCGATCACGCTTCCGCGGAGGAACGGGTGTTCTAGAAGCTGCGCGGCGGAGGGGCGGCGCGCGGGATCTCTCTCGAGGCATCTCCGCAGGAACCCGACAGCTTCCGCCGACAGATGCGGCGGAATAGCCGGCGCCGCGTTCGAGTATCCAATCGCGTGCAGCATGGCGTCAGGAGACGGATCGGTAACGTACTCGCCGTCTATTATACCAGCCGGCGGCAGTTGGCCGGTCCAAGGCGGCGAACCCGTCGCCATTTCGATCACTGTACATCCGAACGACCAAACGTCCGATGCGAACCCTTGATCTTCCTGTCGCACGACCTCCGGCGCCATCCAGCCGTACGTTCCCTGCAGTCGCTGCTTGCGCGCGATGCGCTGCGCCGCTTCCCCCGCGCGCATCGCCACACCCAGCCCGCACAGCTTCGTCTCCCCCTCCCCCCCCGCAACAAGCACATTCGCCGCTTTCACGTCACAGTGCACTATCCCGCGCGCGTGCAGCTCCGCCAACCCTTCCGCAATCCCACGCGCGTATTTCCGCACCAGCGCTTCCGGCAGCCCGCCGCACCCCCCGCCTCCGCCGCCGCTTTCGCCGCCGCAGCATCCGAACGTGCCCATGATATCAAGCACACTCCCAGCAGAGACATACTCGAGAAACAGATTCTTCACCCGAGCCCCCGACGCAGGGTCGGATTCCCATGCCGAGCCTAGCAGCCGAACCACGCGCGGGCAGGTTCGGAGCTCCTCCAGAATCGTCTGCTCGTTCTCCAGCTGACGCATGGTCTTAGGAAGGCTATTTATCGACACCGACTTGACCACCAGAACCTCGCCCGTGTCAGAATTTAACGCGAGATTTACTTTTCCGGTGGGGTCGCCGCCTAGATTAGGTCCACGAATCCAGCGTATAGCCGCCGCCGCGCCGCCACCCGCGGAAGTGATGGAGCCGGCGGAGGCGGCGTGTGTTGCGGCGGCGGTTGCGGACGCCAGCTGCTGCATCTGGTGCCGAGACAAGTCGGATGGGTGGCGGGGATGGGTAGAGTAGGATGGTGGTTCTGATTGGTCGACGTAAGATCCTCGGTTCTTGAGAGGCGACTCGAAAGAGCGTGGCGCGGACAGCTCGTGTCGCATGTGGTGCGGCGGAAGGGACGAACGCGCGGCTATATCAGCCGCCATGACGAATCAAAACTTGCGAGGGTCCACGCGCCTCTTCAAGCTTAACAAAACGCGCGCAAGTTGAGGCCAACGTTTATTTCTTTGTTCTCTTTCCCCTAGCGGGTCCTAAGAGCGATCCTTCAGCTGCCGCTGCGGGCTGCCGCGGGCTAGTATGCCGGTGACTGGGTAGTGAATGTTGTGGGTGCCTGCCTGCGTAGCCAAGTGACGGATGAGTACGAGAAATGATGTCTTACCGATGCGAAAGAGAGTAGTGCTAGGTTCTGTGCTGAAAGTGACGGTTCGGGCATCGGAATAGGGACGCTTGCTCACTCTCCCTCACCTGATGAATTCTGGGTTGGTCAGAAGAAGGAATACGTGTGGTGTGGAAGCTGGCGTGGCGATGCAAAACGCGTGAAAGAGGCGACAATGCTTGCCAGTGGAATAATGTGGCAGTGTAAGTGATTGTCGACGGATTCATATACTGTGAGTTGAAATAGGTGTAATGGAATGGGGAATGACGAGTGGACGACGACTAGTCTCTCTCGCTGATGTGATGTAATTGAAGGGATGAAAGAATGAAATGGAACGAACTGGTTGACATGAAGCCAGCCACCACACAACAACAGGTCTTAGTGTGTTCAGTACAGTAGGCATGAGGGAGAGTGATGAATCGGGCTCGGGGTATGAGTGGAGGTGCAGCCTTCCCTTCCTCCAAGTGGCCTGTGGTGGAATGTACTGTACTGGCCTGCCATTCCATGCATCATTGATCGAACGGTATGAAAACAGAACGTTTTCACGTTGTTTTAGTATTTTCGGATGCTTTGGAGTGGGTTTTTATTAGGTGGCTGGTCGTCACTTGTAGCCATCTTGCGATTGCGAATGACCATAGCGCGTCGATTGACACACCACTGCACCTCGCACTCGGAATCGCCGTGGAGCCACCTCATGTCATAATGGACGGGGCGCCAGTGGCAGGAAGCTGCCCGTGGTCGAGCCGGCCCAGACGCTGAAACTGGCTGATCAGAGAGCGGGAAAATAAATAATTTCAACACCTACAATTACAGTTATAACACTGGGAAAAAGAAGTTCTTACTGATGGGTGACTGCCCGGATTTTTTAGTCAACAGTGCTGACGCGGAGTTGGTTAGAAGAGGCTGCACCATGAGCAATTCTGAAACTTTTCCAACCAATCCAGGTGTCGTCAGCTGGCTTGGCTTTGGCACCCCACCTCTTTATTCGCCCTTCAAAATAAGCACGATGTGATAAGAGCACCAAAATGGGGGATCCTTGACTATCCAATGCAACAAGTGATATACACGAGCGTACTAACAAGAGATAGATATCGCTCTCAGTACGCATATACAAATAAACTTTCCTCATACAGTCGTAAGGGGGAAAATGTTGCTGAGGGGAAGTCACGTTTCTACGAAGGACATGTTTCTAGCAGAGTAAAGGGGGGAAGGGGAGTTAGAATAAATAACAAGTCCAGCAAAGTGACAGTAGGGTAGGGTACTAGTTCCACTCCTCACTCCAGGTGCCACTGCTGCTGTCTATGTACAACCCAGAAAGTCGGCTGGAACCTGCTTTCCGTCCATGGCTGGAAATCCCTTCATTGCTCTCCCCGTGCTTTTTGGAAAACCATCTTAACAGCGAAGCCTTTCCGTGTGAGTCGTGCTTCCCGTCACGTTTGTCTTCTCTTCCCGGTGAAGACACCACCCTAAAACTGCCACTCAGCAGTCTGTGGGGACGGCTATGGGAATCGTGAGAGGTGGTGTCGAGATCCTCTTGCTCTTCGGAAATCGGGATGCTGCCACAGCTGCTGCCGTTGACCGAGGCGCTAGTGGGGAACCTCCTGGAAGGTGGGAATAACTTATCATAGGGAGCTATCAGAGCGATGGAGCTTGAGGAGGAGGGTCCAGAGGAGAATGATCCGTTGGACTCGGAAAAAGATCCGTTGGATTCGGAGAAAGATCCGTTAGACGAGAGCGAGTCCGGAGAAAGCTGCGTTGACGAAGCGTAAGCAAATGGCGGGAGTTGCGTCAACGGATGCGTTGGCGACACATGGCCGGTCCAGTTGTCGGCGGCGGGAGGGGTAGCGGCGGGACCGTTGGGGCCATCAGGGCAAAGGTGGGACTGCGAAGCGACCCGTCTGTGTCGGTTGCGGTACGCGGCCGCATGGCTTCCGACATGCGCGGCGACTGGAGAGGCGAACCGGCGCTGCTGCTGCGCCATGGCGTGATGCGCGGCGAGGTGATCGCCGGAGAGCGGCATCGCATCCGCCATTACGAACGTCGCGATTCCGCTCGTGATTCCGCTCATGTCATACCCGTGCCCGGAATCGTGAGTTGTGGATCGCGGGATCGTGCGCCTTCGAGACGCGCTCCCATCATCCGCCACCCAGGTAGCGTAGCGCGAAAGGTCGCCTGAAATGGCTTCGGGTCCGCATCTGTCGTCGTCGGGCGAAAAACGTTTCGCCATCTCCGTAGCAAAATCGCCGGCGCGGCTGGTGGTGTCGTTGACACATGCTCCAAACGCGCTGACCGCCTGCTCCACCGTCTGAAGTGCGCTCGACCGCCGATTTGGCCTGTTAATAACGCCTTTAAAGGGCCGGGTCCCGGAAGCTGCGTCGGTTTCAAGGTTGAGTATCGCCATATCCGACTCGAGCGATGGGCTGTCGCGCTCCTTTGAAACAAAAGGCTTTCGTGCCAATTTCTTGAAAGTTTTCTCTTCTGAATAGTCGCTCTCCAGCATCACCGCGCGGGTCAAGACGTGATAGGTGCGGCCCGGAAGGAGCACGGTATGGGATGATAAAACGGCTTCGTCGGAGTCGAGGCTGCTGACGTGGCAGCTGGGGTACATAGCCATGACATCGCTGACGTGGACGGTGGCGTCTGGTTGGATAATGTTGACGCTGTTGTCAGGCAGTAGCAACAGAATGGAGTCGTCGTCCATCGCGTGGGTTTTTCTGAGAGCACTCGAGCAAAGGAAGGCGAAGGAAATGTATGGAGAACAAGAGCCCCTGAGCTGAGGGAATTAAGGTGGCTTTACAACAGCATTCCTCGGATTAGTAGAAGACTCCCAAGTACTCGTACCGTCCTCCCAAGACAAGAGAGAATGAACCAGAATGTTCCTTGAACTCCAAGCAAGCGACACAAAAAGCAGGCAGCGTGTTGATGTCGGGAGGAGCAACAGGCCACCACGTAAGAAATGCTCACCCAACAAACGATGTGAGTAAGAAAAGTGACTTTCCGCGTGTCTAATACAGCAACGGGGTAGCAGCACTCCCTCTGCGCACCTTGCATTTTGAAAACAATTGCTCCTTGCTTTGCTTGCTGCTGTTCCTGCTGCTGCTTTTGTCTGGTTGGATGATCCCCTCCCCTGGACCGTACTGCCGAGAAAAGTGAATCTCGAAATGCCACAAGCAACAAATTGCGTCCTCCGGGAAAGTTGAATTCTCTGGCTTGGTCTATCGGCATGCAGATAAAAAAGGTCCATCGTCGACGTGGTTGCAGCAATTCTGTTTTGACATCTTGCGCCGGGCAGCATTGAAAGCTGCTCTGCTTGACACTCAGCCAATAGCGTCGCGCAACGCGGCATAGTCAAGGCCGGCTAATGCTGCAAGAGCAGCAACTTCCTGACCGGAAATTCAACGTTCAAGCAAACAGACCACCTTCGGAATCAGGAAACGAAGGTCCCGACGTCCTCCGTAAGGAGTTTGGCTCGTCATTGTAATCTCAAAATATATATGACTTAAGTTTAGTGAATGCTTATGAGAGTTGGAAATTGCATATCACTCTGGAACAGGGCTTCAGATTCGTTTTGGGCCACCGTCAACCCTGATGCGTAGGATATTTTGTTTTCCCTGACAAATGCAGCGTATTTCAAAATACTATGTTATATTAAGAATGCCAACGTAATTAAGCTTTGTAGTTAGTGGATCAGCTGGTTCGATTACGTATTCGATGTGAAAAGGCGCAGGTTCGAGTGCCGCAGGTTCGTCTCGCTACGGAGCACTTGGTACCGGTATAGCTCGGATTGTACACTGTACAGTCAGAGTAATGTGTTCCTTATGCTGTTTTTCAAAGAGTATTGAAAAACTTAAACTTTCTGGCCTAGGGTAAAAAATCCACTACCCTGCCTGTGAAAGGGTGACTGAAAAAAAGCGGCCGCCAGTCAGTTCAAAAAGGGTATTTTACCCTGATAACGAGAGGCCTGCTCTGGAAGCTAGATTACTTACCATAGGTCTGACCAAAGGTCACTCATTCAACACAAAGTCTGATTCAATTCTACCGTCAGCCCCCGGATAGAAGCGCCCCTGGGGGTATAAAAAAACACTGTTTTTTAGGGGGTGCGCTTATAATTGAGGAATTTTATAAGCGCCGGCGTTTATAAAATGGCAAAAAGAATATATATTTGTTTTACACCAAACTGTATATCTCGTTCTGCCGAGTGTAATCGAGTCAAAAAAATATAGGGTCGCGAATCTGATTCTCGCGCAGCTTGGCAGGGAGTGATTCCCTGCCAGCTCACCCTGACAGAATTACAGCACATGCTGACTAGACGCGCAAAAAGTGAGTTCAGAGTGTGGGAAATCGAAATTGTAGTTCGTCTCCCTGATTATGTGAAATTCGTTTCTGAAATTTGAAAGGTTTTCAAATGAAAAACAAACATGCGCTTATAATATATCATCTTTTTCTAGGGGGTGCGCTTATAATCGAGGACCGGATATAAGCGCCCTCATCCTTTTATAAGCGCCGGCGCTTATCCGAGGCCTGCGCTTCTATCCGGGGGCTTACGGTACCAACATGCTTACGCAGCCTTTCCCCTCAACAGTCTGATTCCATTGCTAGATTCACACCCAAAACATAATGTGAATGTGAGTGAGCACATCACTGAAGGAGCATCTCTCAGGAGTACGCTCCAGAAGCACAGGAAATCTTAGGTTAGTGTTATGAACGATGCTACAGCGCTGTCAGGACCAGGCCGACAATTCGCCTGTGTTAGAAAATCAAGGAATGGGAGCTTCTGACCTATGCTGGAACCCTGTTGTGCAAACTACGAGTCTCCTTTCGAAACGGTAGTTGTTACGATAGTCGGCGTGCAAATCGCTGGGGAATGAAGGAATCAATTGCTGGGAACATGGGGGGTTGATGGCAGAACCCTTGTACCATTGAGCCTTGCTGTACATATCCCTTCCATTCTTGCCCCTCACCCTTCTCCCGTTCTCTTTGCATGCATTTTTCCAGAGCGTTTCCATGCTGCTCTCTCGTGGCACCCACTTTACTGCTGTTGAAGGTGCGGGAAGCTGGCAGTTATACCATGGTTTTGAGTGGGTGAATGAGTGTGCATGGGATGGTGTGGTATTGCATGTGGCTGTGGTGTCACAGGTCGTTCCTTTCCATGACATCACACCATCCCTTCTGCCCACCGCCCATGGTCCTGCTGAGAAAAATCGCGCACTCCCAACCCATGTGGGTGCTGCTGAACCTGCCCTTGGGCAGCCCTTCTGCTGCTGCCGGACCTGCATGCAGAACCTGCTGTTTTGCTGCTGCTGAACCAGCCATTGTGCTGCTGCGGAACCTGCCCTTGTGCTGCTGCCGAACCTGCCCTTGTGCTGCGGCCGAACCTGCCCTTGTGCTGCTGCCGAACCTGCCCTTGTGTTGCTGCCGAACCTGCCCTTGTGCTGCTGCCAACAGAACAAATCCAATGCCAAATCCAGCTCACTTCCTCTTCTTGTTCCTGCCCTTGCGCCACCCGTGTGCTGCTCTTGTGCTGCTCCCGGCCCAGTGTTGTTCCCGAGCCCACGGTGTTGTGCATCCAACAGTTTTGCTTCGCCAGCTGTGCTGCTGAGCTACTTTCCACACAAGGCATCATGCCACAGAACACTCCTCTCCACCTCTGTAATGGCTCAGCTCTTTCTCCCCTTTTGCTGCTACCAAATCCTTCTCGTGCTAAGCCGTGGTTCTGGCGAGCGGGGGAGCAACAGCGGAAAGGGCAGGAGCAGGGAAAAAGTAGCAGGCAGAAGGAGCAGGGCAGCAGGAGCAGGCGACACGCAAGCACCTTGGCTGGATCTGTTTCCTCTGCCCTGCCCCTGCTGCACACAGCACCACGGCTACTCCCTGGGCCACACCTGTCTGCTCCCTGGGCCACACCTGTCTGCTCCCTGGGCCACACTCGTCCACACCTGCTTGCTTGCTGGTGCGCCTGCTTGTTTGCTGGTGCGCCTGCTTGCTTGCTGGTGCGCCTGCTTGCTTGCTGGTGCGCCTGCTTGCTTGCTGGCGCACCTGCTTGCTTGCTTGCTTGCAGCCCAGCACACTGGCTCACGGCTGTATGGTCACCACCAGAGCCGCAGCAGGAGACACCGGCCGCTCCCCCCCCAGCAGAGCCAGATGCACCTACCCCTCCCCCAGACGCAGTACCGTCAGCTGCAACGTCAACTGCTGCACTCCCCTCCTCCCCCTCCGCAATGCTCTCACAGTGCGGAAGACAGCAGAGCAGGTAGCGGGTCATGAGGGAGAGCAGCGTGTGCGCCGTGAGGGCGGGGTCGATGGGCTTGGTGAGGTACGCGTCCATGCCCGCATCCAGACGCCCCTTCTCGTCCACACACCTGCTTGCTTCCCATCTTTGCTTGCTTGCAGCCCAGCAAACCGGATCACGGCTGCATGGTCACTACAAGAGCAGCAGCAGGAGACGCTGGCCGGGCCCCCCCAGCTGAACCAGAACCAGCTCCTCCCACCCCTCTCACAGACGCAGACGCGTCTGCTGCAACGTCAACTGTCACACTCCCCTCCTCACCCTCCGCAATGCTCTCAATGTGAGGAACGCAGCAGCGCGGGTAGCGGGTCATAAGAGAAAGCAGCGTGTGCGCCATGAGAGCCGGGTCGATGGGCTTGGTGAGGTACGCGTCCATGCCCGCATCGAGGCACTTCTTCTCATCGCTGGTCATGGCGTGTGCTGTGAGCGCCACTATGGGCGTGTGGAACCGCGTGCCTGCCTCCGCTGCCCTGATGGCCGCTGTCGCCCCGTACCCGTCCAGCACCGGCATCTGGCGGGTGGAAGGGAGGGAGGAGGGGAGGTGGAACGAAGGGCGAATTGAAAAGAGGGTGGGTGCAAAGGGCAGGTGTGGAACCGCGTGCCTGCCTCCGCTGCACTGATGGCTGCTGTCATTGCCCCGGCATCTGGAGTGAGGAAAGGGGGATGGGAAGTGGTGAGTACGCATCCACGCTCTCGTCCAGGCACTTGCTCTCATTGCTCATCCATGAGCATGAGAGGGCAATCAAGCCTACCTGGCAGGCAGTCCATGAGCATGAGCATGAGAGAGCACAGCACCGTGTCGCGTGGTCGCGTCTCCCTGTGACCCCGCAGCAGCATGTGACATCAAACCACGTGACCTCTGAGTCGACTCAAAAGTCAAGCCTACCTGGCAGCCCATGCACATAAAAGCGGCGCGGCGCCCAACCCAAAGCTCACCTGGCAGTCCATGAGAACAGCATCGAAGTGCGTGGCGGCATCTCCCTGAGTGTCTCTGGCAGCGTAGGTGGCGAGAATGGCGTCCACTGCCTGCTGCCCATCACACACTGCCTCCACCTCACACCCCAGCTTCTGCATCCGGATTATGGCCACCTGCGGGAGGAGAGGGAGGGAGGCGGGGAGGAGGAAGGGGTCTCCCTGAGTGTCTCTAGTAGCGTAGGTGGCGAGAATGGCGTCCACTGCTTGCTGCCCGTCACACACCGCCTCCACCTCGCACCCCAGCTTCTGCATTCGAATTATGGCCACCTGGGGATGGGGACAGGGGAGGGGGAGGGGGTTGGCCAGGTGGGAGTTGAGGGTAGAACCGGGGAGACGACTAGGAGTCAGTTATGGGCCACACACTGCCACCTCACACCCCAGCTTCTGCATTCGAATTATAGCCACCTGGGGAGAGGGACAGGGGAGGGGAGGGGAGGGCAAGGAAGAGACCACCATGAGTCGCACACCCCCTCCACCTCACACCCCAGCTTCAGCATTCTGATTGGGGCCACGTGGGGGAGGAGGGAGGAGGAGGGCAGGAGAGGGAGGTGGGTGGGAGTTGAGATGTGCGACAGATGGCAGCAAGCATAACACAGCCCATGCACACGCAGCATAGCCCCTACATCGCACCTCCCCCTGCCCACCGTCGCCCTCAACTTGTGCCGCGCCGCAGGGCTGTGTGTGTGTCCTCTGCAACGAGCACCCGCTTGCACAGCATGACCCTTCATTCAACCTTCTGCCAAACCAGCCCCTAAGCCACGGCCTTCACCCTGCCCATCCACCTGCCCGCCCACCTGCCCATCCACCTGGCCATCCACCTGCCCGCCCACCTGCCCATCCACCTGCCCATCCACCTGCCCATCCACCTGCCCATCCACCTGCCCGCCCACCTGCCTGTCCACCTGCCCGTCCCCCTGCCCATCCCCCTGGCCATCCCCCTGGCCATCCCCCTGCCCATCCCCCTGGCCATCCCTCTGCCCATCCCCCTGGCCATCCCCCTGCCCATCCCCCTGGCCATCCCCCTGCCCATCCCCCTGGCCATCCCCCTGCCCATCCCCCTGGCCACCCCCCTGGCCATCCCCCTGGCCATCCCCGGGCCACCATCGCACGCACTCAACTTGCTCAGCAGCGCCGTGTCTCCAGCAATGAGCACCCCTGCATTCCCAAATCTGTTGAGCCCTGCATACATACGAATCTTTGACTGCCCGGCCTGGCCGTAACACTCACCTTGCGCAGCAGTGCAGTGTCTTCTGCAATGAGCACCCGTGCATTCCCAAAGTGCCCTGCTTACGAACCATTGACTGCCCGCCCTGCCCACCGCCCCACTCACCTTGCGCAGCAGTGCCGTGTCCTCTGCAATGAGCACCCGCTTGCCCGCCAATGCAGTCTCAAAGTTGCTCTCCCCCGCTGCCCCTGGTGAATGCTGCCATTCCACGCCCCGAGAAGGGAAGGGAGACAGCCACGGGGGGACGGGAGGGAAGAAGGTGAGTGAGGGGGAAGTGGGGAGAAAGCAATGAGCACCTGCTTGCCAGCCAGCGCAGTCTCAAAGTTGCTCTCCCCCGCTGGCCCTGGTGAATGCTGCCATACCACATCCCCAGAAGAGAGATGACCATGGGGGGAGGGGAGGGAAGGGGAGCAAGTGAGGGGTAAGGAGGGAGGGGGTGAGTGAGGGGGGAGGGGGGAAAGAGGGTGAGTGAGGGAAGAGGGGGAAGGGGGTGCGCGAGGGGAGGAGGGGAAGAGGGTGAGTGAAGGGAGGGCGGGAAGGGGGAAGAAAGCGATGAGGAGTCGCTTCCATGGAACGACCTTGCAGAGAAATGAGAAATGAGGAAACGTTCTTGGCCCAGAGAGGGACACACGCATGAGGATGTTTCCAAGAGAAATGAGAAATGAGGAAACGTTCTTGGCCCAGAGAGGGACACACGGATGCACGCACACTGCACACACAGTGCGTCACCACCAGAGAACTCTGATTTCATGTCCCGGAGAGAGGGACACACGCATGCACACACATGCACGCACACGCACGAGCGCACACACACACATACCTTCATAGACCGAGCGCGACCCACTCTGTGTGTCGACCCCTTGCCACTGCCACCATCCCTCTGACTCTCACTCGCCCCTCCCACGCCCCCTGCCGCCCCTGGCCCTTCCCCCCCAGTCCCACCAGCCGCGGCAGCTCCTGGTGACCCCACCGCTCCTCCTGCCCCTCCCCCCCCTCCGCCTGTTCCCCCCTCTCTTCCCCCGCCTCCCCCCACGCCACCCCGTGCCATGAGTCTAGCAGATGGAGACATGCCGCCCGCTGCTGCTGCCAGCGACGCCGGGGACGGCAGCGCCCTGCGGGATCCCGCTGCTGACGTGGCGGGCGCCTGTTTGTCCACTGCCCCGTCCTCCTCCACTGGCGGGGGGAGCGACCAGCTCTGGGGAATGCGGGAAGGGAGGGTAAGGGGGCGGAGGGGAGGGTAGGGGAGGGGAGGGGAGGGGAGGGGAGGGGAGGGGAGGGGAGGGGAGGGGAGGGGAGGGGAGGGGAGGGAAGGGGAGGGGAGGGTAGGGGAAGGAAGGGAGGGGAGATGGAGGAAGGATGAGGGCCGTCAGTCCTTTGAGAAGGAGCGAGAATGGGGAGAGGCTGGGCTTTGTTTATTACTCAGACAAAAAAAAAAAAAAAAAAAAAAAAAAAAAACCACATCAGGCCAGCAGGGAGAGAGAGAGAGAGAGAGAGAGAGAGAGAGAGAGAGAGAGAGAGAGAGAGAGAGAGAGAGAGAGAGAGAGAGAGAGTGTGTGTCTCACCGAGTCCTCCCCATGCCAGTGCGGCCCCGCACCTCCCCCACCACCCCCTCCTCCGCCTCCCCCTCCACCGGGCTCCCTCCTCCCCGCCCCCGCACTGGGCAGCGGCGGCATGTCAATACTCGAGCTCGAGTGCGCCACGCCATTCCTCGCCGTTGCCAGCGCCAGCAGCGGGGCCATGCGGGATGCATACAGCGGCTTGGACGCCACAGCACACCCCGACCGCCGCAGCGACCGCCTCGTATCCGCGGACGTGTTGTGCTCCACGAGCCACGCGATCACAAACCCCTGGTGCTGCAGCCTGGCCCGGAAGATATGTAGCTCTTCTGCTATAAACTGGTACAGGTTCGGGACGAGTGAGACGTCGATAATCGCGAGGACTAACCGGGAGTTTACGGATCCGAAGCTGTTCCCGCCGGGGGTACCTGCGCCGTCGTCCCCAACCATTCCGGGGCTATTTTCCCTACCGTGCTCGTTGAAAGAGCTTCGGGAAAACGACGATGCTGGAGACATGGCTCGGCCCGGACCTGCGCTGCTCCCTGCTGCAGCGGCTGGACTTGCTACCGAGGCACCACTATTTACCGAGCCTGAGGCATAGGGCTGGCTTGGAGGAACACGGTCTCTCGGGGTGGTGGGGCGATGACCAGCAGGACCGGCAGCAGGGCTGGCCGAGCCTCCCCCGTCCCTAAATGACGCCCCTTGGCTCTGATTCTGCTCCGGAATCGGACTAAACACCCCGTCCCTTCCCCCTCCCGCACCTGCACCACCCCTCCCGCTCGCCCCAACCCCTCCCGGCTGAAACGACCGAGCCAGCGGCGCGGAAAACCCCACCATAGACCTCGACACCCTCGGCTGTAACCCCGCTCGATCTGACGCTCTGTGAACTAGCATAGACGAGACAGCCGGCATGATATCGGCCCACTGCGTGGCCCGCCACACGTGCAGCTTCCGCCGCTCCAGCCACGCGCAGGCGATGGCAGCGCCGGCGGATTCCTCGTGCATGGCAAGGAGGACTTGGCCGCCCTCGACGGTGGTGAGCTTGGGGAGGAGGAACTCGGGCTGCAGCATGCTGTTCTTCCACACGCTGCTGTGGTCCAGCGCCTCACAGCACAGGTCAAACCGGAACCGCGCCCCCGCCCCCTCCTTGTCCACCACTGCTATGTGCCCTCCCATCAGTTGCACCTGCGGAGAGGGGAGGGAGGAATGGGAGTGGGGAAAATTTTTTTCCAGTTGTCAGTGATTTTCAAAGACGCTATGATGTGTGAACCCCCTCCCCGCCATGTCAGCCCTCCTTGTCCACCACTACTATGCGCTCGTCCATTTTCTCCTTCTTGTGGACGAAAAGGCAGTGGTTGAAAAGACGCGTTGTCACGTCAAAGCAGGGAGCGAGGGTGTGTGTGAGGGGGGAGCGAGGGTGTGTGTGAGGGGGGAGCGAGGGTGTTTGTGAGGGGGGAGCGAGGGTGTGTGTGAGGGGGGAGCGAGGGTGTGTGTGAGGGGGGAGCGAGGGTGTGTGTGAGGGGGGAGCGCAGTGTACTACCAACCAACCAAACCCTAAAACAGTTACACCAAGCCAGAACGCACCAGGGATTTGACGATGCCCAGCCCGAGCCCCGTGCCGCCATGGGTGCGGTTGGTGGAAGCATCGGCCTGCTGGAAGTTTTCAAAGACGAGCTGCCTCTTGTGCGCGGGGATGCCCGGCCCTGAATCATCCACCTCAAACATAAACGTCACCATCCGCCTCTCCCGTCCCCCCTCCTTCCCCCCCGCACCCGCCCCCCCTGCTGCCCCTGCGCCCCCTCCTGCTCCCCCTGCTGCTGATGCTGCGCCTGCTGCTGCTGAAGTGTCAGTGTCGCCCTCTGTGCTGCCTGCAGCGTCGGTGGCAGCGCTGGTGGTGGCGGAAGCTGGCGTGCCGTCCGCGTCCACACTGGGACCGTGGCCGCTGCGCCTGGGAAGTAAGGAGGGAGGAGAGAGGGAGGGCGGGGCGGAAAGGTGGGGAGAGTGGGGGTGAGGAAGGAGGGGGACCCATCGCCTTCCGCACTGCCTGCAGCGTCGGTAGTGGTGGTGGTGGTGGCTGAAGGCTACAGGCCATTTGCGCTTCACTATTACTCCCTGACCCCCGACCTCCTTCCTCCCACTCTCCCCAATCCCAAACTGCTTATCCTTCCCCCCCTTGCCTGCCCGACCCGACCCCCCATGCATTCCCCCTTCTTGCCCAATCCCAGCACTTCCCGTTCGCCCACCAGTCCCCCTACCCCCTGTGCTCCCCCTACCCCCCTGTGCTCCCCCTACCCCCCTGTGCTCCCCCTACCCCCCTGTGCTCCCCCTACCCGCCTGTGCTCCCCCTACCCGCCTGTGCTCCCCCTAACCCCCTGTGCTCCCCCTACCCCCCTGTGCTCCCCCTACCCCCCTGTGCTCCCCCTACCCCCCTGTGCTCCCCCTCCCCTCTCACCAATGCGTCCCAAACACAGACGCCCCCCTCCCTCCCTCCCTCATTCCCCCCCAACCCACTCACTTCTTCTCCCCTGGGATGGACAGGTCTGAGTCGCGCAGGTGGGGCGGCGGGTTGTGTCTCATCCACCCCCTCACAATGACCTGCCCGTTCCGCGTGAACTTGCACGCGTTGCTCAGCAGATTCGCAAACACCTGGCGGGCGGCAGGAGAGGATAGGGCAACGAGGGACGAGGGAGTTGAGGGGCAGGGCAGAGGGAGAAAAGAGGGAAAGGGAGATAAGGGAGACGAGGGAGACAAGGGAGACGAGGGAGACAAGGGAGACGAGGGAGACAAGGGAGACAAGGGAGACGAGGGAGACAAGGGAGACGAGGGGCAGATGGGAAAAGGAGGGAAAGGGGGACGAGGGAGTCGAGGGGAAGAGGGAGAGGAGGGGAACAAGGGAGAGGGGCGAATAGGGAGTGGCAGTGAGAGCGGAGGAGGGCAAGCGAGTGTTGCGAAACATCTTGGTGCATTGTGAGGGGCAAGCATGGGAGCAGGAGGGGAGGAGGAGGTTGCAGGGGAACGAAAAAGGGAGGAGGGCAATCAAGAACAGAAAACGAGATGCCTGCTTTTCCAGCACCTCCAGCTGCATGCACTCACGCCCACGCATGTACGCACGCACCCGCCGTTCCACCACAGCCCACAAGCCAGACAAGCAAAACAACACCAACCTTCTTTCGGACGCCCCAATCCAGCACCGCCCTCCCCGGCCCCCCTCGCACCTGTCGGACCTTTGAGAGGTCTCCCTTCACAGTCCTCTCGATGTCATCCAAGAGATCGAGAGCGATTCCACCCCGTTGCTGAGCCCCTGCACGCTGAACATGTCGACGAGCGACTCGAGCTCGCCCACAATGTCAAACTCCAACACCTCCAGCTGCATGCGCTCACGCATGCATGCATGCACCCACCATTCCACCCGCAGCCCACACACCACACAACAGCACCAGCCTGCTTCCAGGCACCTCGGGCCCGCTCTCACCTGTCGGACTCTGGAAGGGTCCCCTTTAACCGTCCGCTCAATATCATCCGAGAGATCGAGAGCAATCTCCGTGCCATTGCTCAATCCCTGCACGCTGAACATGTCGACGAGCGACTCGAGCTCGCCCACAATGTCAAACTCCAGCACCTCCAGCTGCATGCGGCCCGCCTCCACCTTGGCCAGGTCCAGCAGGTTGTTTAGCAGCCCAAGGAGGGAAGCGCAGCACGACTTCATCTGCCTCAGATTGGCTTCTTGTTCGGCCGTTAGATGGTCACACAGCATTATGTCCAGCAGGCCCAGGATGCTGCGGAAGAGAGGCAAGGGGGGGAGGGTGGGGGTTGGGGTGGGTGCGATGGATGGAGGCAGGCAGGGAGGGATTGCAAGGGAGGTGAGCACAAAGGTAAGCAGAGAGCACCAGAGGACCTCCAGCTGCATGTAGGGTTGAGCAAAAAAACGAACACCTGTTCGGTTCGCCTCGAACACGTTCGAGGCGAACCGAACAGGTATTTTTTTTTGGCTTAAAATGTTCGCCGAACAGTGTTCGATGTTCGCCCGAACACGTTCGTGTTCGGGCCGCTGCTGCAATTTGCCCGCGACGAACACGAACAGTGTTCAAGGTTCGCCCGAACACGCCTTCACAGGCGAACGGCGAACACCATTTTTTGCTCAAAGTGTTCGCCGAACCGAACAGTGTTCGGTTCGGCAAACGAAGGTGTTCGTGTAGGGGCGAACACGAACACGTTCGTGTTCGCCACTTGCTCATCCCTAGCTGCATGTGGTCCGCCTCCACCTTGGCGAGGTCCAACAGGTTGTTGAGCAGCGAGAGGAGAGAGAGGCCCAACCAACCCCCTCACTCACTCACTCACCCGGCCATGGGAGTCCGCAGGTCGTGGGAGATGTTGGCAAGAAACTGGCTCTTGACCTCCGAGGCTGCCTGGGCTCGCTGCGTCTCCTCCTTCTGGCGCTGCAGCTCCTCCTTGGGGCGCATGCGCGTGTCCACGTAGAGCGTGAGGAAGATCACCACCACCCACCCCAGCAGCAGCAGCCCCACCGCCACGCAGGATGTCACGATGATCATTGTCTCCATCTCCTGATCCACCGTTCCCATGATGGACGTGCGTGGCAGGATGATCACCAGATACTGGTGGGTTGGAGAGAATGGTGGAGAGGGGTGGAGAGGGTTTGGGAAATTGGGGACATGCAAGAGGTGGAGCTAATCATCATCTCTATCTCCTGATCCATCACCCCTATTGCAGACGTGCGTGGGAGGATCATCGCCAGGTACTGGTGGGTTAAGATTGGTTGGGCAGAGTGGGGAGGGGACACACAAGGGCACTGCTTGCATCTCGTGGTCTACAGTCCCCCACCACCCATCAACGAGGTGGTGTGTCAGGGTCAGAGGGTTCTCACCCAGGCATCGGTTGAGGACTCGGGGGCTGCAATGGAGATGGTCAAGGGCAGCACATACCACCCAGCCTGGCAGAGCCCATGTGCCAACCTGGCAGAGCCCATCTGCCTACTTGGCAGAGCCCATCTGCCTACTTGGCAGAGCCCATGTGCCAACCTGGCAGAGCCCATCTGCCTACTTGGCAGAGCCCATGTGCCAACCTGCAACCCCAACTCTAACGTCACCACCAACCATTCACATAGCGTACCAAAAATGCCACCCCTTTCTCTTCTCTCACTCTGCACTCTTTCCCATCTTCCCTCCAAACCAGCCTCACCTTATCAGCTCACCAGCCTCAGCTCCCTCCCCCCCCCTCACGTATCAATCCCCCCCCCTCGCTTATCAGCTCACCAGCTTCAGGTTATCAACGGCGAAGCCCATGCTGCTGACATACCACGCGCGCCCCACCACATCCACATTGCTCAGACTATAATTCCCCGCCACCAGCGCCGGCAGCCCGTACTCGCGCTCCAAATACCGCGCCACGCCTGCAATCGTCGCATCCTCCACATCCGTCGCATTCACAAACTGCTGCAGCCGCCCCTCCCCAGTTGGAGTGGACGTAGCTACCCCTGTTGACGTAGCCACCAGGAACCCCTCAGAGCTCCCGATGTACATCACGCACCCCTCTATCGTGTCCTGCACGAGAAACCGGTTCACTATGCCCACGGACGACCCGAGAATGAGCACGCCCGCAGGGGGAGTCACCCCCGGGCTGTGCACAGCCGAGCTGGCGACAAGCATCGGGCCGGACAGGTCCTGAATCGCGTTGAACGTCCACAGGAGGTTCTCCTCTCCGCGCTCAATCTGCTGGTATAGCTCCACGGATCCTAGTCGCAGTGGCTTGAACGGCGTCGGGGTGTTGTTTGCGGGCAGCCCGGAGGAGGAGTTTGTGGGCAGGATGAACCAGGGGGCGGTGGAGTTGGGGAGAACGTTTCTGGAATAGACCATGGAGAGAGATCCGTCCTGCGAGGCGAAGGACTGTTTAGCCAGGTCGTACTGTGCGTATGTTACAAAAGGGCCTGTCATGCTGTAGTAGCCGAGCGTGGTGATGTGTGGGAGTGAGCTCTTGAAGAACGACCAGAGTAGGGGACGGACCTGGAAGGTGGGGATGGGATTGGGGAATGGTGGGGATGGTGGCGGAACGGGTGGGAGGGATGAGGCGGACGGGCGAGGAGGAGGGTTGAATATTTGCTGTGCAGCGATGGTGATTGGTAGGGTGTTAACGTGTCCCAATGTGGACCCGTGGTGCTATGATAAGAGAACGGTTAAGAGAACGGATTAGTCATGTAAATTTAGATACACAGGAGTGACGGCACATGAATATGCTTGTGATGGCATGGCATATGCATGTGCCCGTGATGGCATATGCAAAAAAATATTGTGGGATATGCATGTACAGTGATACATATGGATCTGCCGTAATGGCACATGCATGTAACCGTGCTGGCATACGCGTGTTTGCATGATTGGAAGCGCATGTGAACGTGTATGTGGATGAACCTGATACCGGCTTCCACCGCCCACCACCGTCCACCACCGCCTACCACCGTCTACCATCACTTCCGGCCCTTCGCCCACGCACCAGTCTGAGGCTATCGTTAAGGGTTAGGTTCCACGTGCGCAGCTGTTGGAAGGTGGTTTCGAGCACAGAGGAGAGCGACACGAGCACGTCGCGGTCGCGGTTTATGTACAGCAGAAACTGCTCCTGCACGCCCACTAGTGTCTTCTCGCGCAGCCTGCCGGGGGGAAGAGAGGGGGGGGGGGGGTGTCGGGGTGGGCAAAGAAAACATGCGTTATAAGCATCCTCTATACATCGCGCTGGTGGTTTATCTACAGCAGGAACTGCTCCTGCACGCCCACTAGGGTCTTCTCACGCAGCCTGCGGAGGGAGCGTGGGAGGTAGGAACGGAAACCCATGCGTGCCTAGTTGAAGAAGCTAAAACTTGGGTATACCCTACAATGATGGAAAGCGCTGGGCGGGACCGGATATTCTGGTTGCGGAAGTTTTTTTCAGGGAGCGTGGGGAGATGGGGGGATGAGACACGCGATTGAGCAAAGCGGCTCTTTATTGGTCGTTTCGAGTAGTTCATGAGCCGCAGAGAATGGAACGACGATCGTACAGTCAGTCTTCAAGTCCGGTTATGGTCAATTGCGGCGCAAATTGTCGCACGCGGTGATTGCGTTGCGGGGAACGGGAGAAGGGGATAGAGAGCGGGGAAGCGGGAAGGTCAAGGGGACGGGAGTGGGAACGGGGGAACGTACTGAAGGGCGACGGCGTCGAGCGATTGGCTGTAGGCAGTTCTGGCGGCGAACCACGTGCCGACTGTGAGAACCACCACCACAATCACCAGAAACGCCTGCCAGTCCAATCATCGACAAATTCTCAAGTATGAGCACCACCGCCACTATTGCCAGAAATGCCATCACTGACTGAAAGGCCGAACGGACAAACCTCAATCGGACCAGCGAGCTTACGAACGCTACAGGACGGACGCACACCATCATTGGCGACAGGAGATTCGGAATGATGAACCAAGTCTAGACCGACAGGATCATCGAAATCTACGACGTTCTAGAAGCGGAAACATGAATATTTTAAAAAATATGGAGCCGTTAGGGTTCGGACGACGAAACTTCATACCAAAAAAAAAAAAAGGTGCAGAAACGGGTCTACGACAGGATTTGAAACCAAGGATCCAAGGGAGAATGTACGAGCAGTAAACTCAGATCCCTGTACTTGCGCGCACCTCCTCCAGTTTTGAGCTAACCAGAAACTAGGCTCCTTCTCGAATCCTCGCGAACCACTTTGCGAAGTCATTATGCGCTGTACAACGCAGCTCCGTGCTCGCAAGCTTCAGTTCGTCCGAACGCTAAAACGAAGGCACAAGTATGAACGCTCGTTAGCGTTTAAGGTCAAACCCCTAAGAACATGTTATTGCTGGGAGGATGGTCAAAACGTTTACTAATGAGAATCGTCGCTCTGCTTCTAGTATCAGTTTGTGAAGTAAGCAAGCTGTGAGCTGGTCTGTGCCGACTGGCCCTCGCTGGCCGTACGATCTACGTACAGTCACTGCTGTTAGCCGTACGATAACGTACCATCATAACTAGCCGGGTGATAAAAACGGGGGATTGTAAGTGCTGCATCAACTGCTGCCGTTTCGACGGCGGCTTCGTCAGCAGCGCGTCATCCTCCTCCGCTCCTTCCCCCGCTTCCTCCCCCGCTTCCTTCTCCGCTCCCTCCGCTTTCGCTTTATTCTTCGTCACGACCTTCTTCGCTTTTATCGCCGCGCCTGAACTCGCCACTCTTTGCGCTTCCTCGTCATCTTCCCCCGCATCTGCGTCTCGTTCTGGGAATCCCATTCTGCAGAATCGGTTCGCGCTAAGCACACCGCACATCTGCAGAGCTCGCTCTCGCCTCGTCATTGTGACTCTCACCGGCGAATGAATTCCATTGTCCCAATGGCTGTCGCCTACTTCGTCACTTACGCCACTCTCGCAACTATGCGACTGCCTAATGGTTGGGAGCTCGTTTGGCATGTCCTGGGAACCGACAGATAACACCACAATATTAGCAGGACATGCCTTCAGGGGTCGTCTAGGAGGCTAGGACCGAAAGGGATCGGTATGCTGGTATCAAAACAGAAATGATAGGCCGTGCTGTCATTACTGTACATAGCAGACGGGAGGACTGAGGGTAGAGGCATCTGGATAGGTAACCGAACGGATCACGGCAAAAACCTATGTGAAGTTGGCAATCTCGAGGGACGATGTTTCGTTTTGACTAGCCACCGCACTACAACGTTGCTGCATATTTCTAAACCCTATTGAGACGCGCCCAACCTCGTGGCAAAAGGAGGTCCTGAGGGTGATCGAACCTGATCCTCAACCTGTACCCACTGTGAAACAAGCTGGCAGAGGCGGCACCGGGAATACCGATGGGTCAACAGGTGCGTGGATGAAGGTGTGGTTTTGACAGTCATGCAGACAGAGCGAAGGAGGAATGCATCGCCACGTTTTGCCCACTGCTGGCAGCTAGGGAGCAAAAAACGAACCCCAAGGCGAGGCGGAGCGAAGGCGAGCCCACGCCACAAAACCACCCGCCCCGCGCGAAGGTTGTGGAAGTGGAGATGAAAAAGCGAGGGAGTCAGGGAGAGGAAGGGGACGGGCAGGCGAACGGTGAGTGGATTGTCCCAAGTTCCCAACTACCGCTGGCACCAGCGCAGCAACTGACTCCAAAAGCAGGAGGGCGGGCGGGATTGTACTAAAACTGTTGAGTAGCGGAAAACCAAGGGGCACTGCTAGAGTGGAACATCGCGGGAAAAGATTCTTCGATGCCGCTCACCGAACTACACTGCCCACGACAAAAATCGGTGGAAGGAAACATAGGTGACAAAGGTGAGAAGTGAATTTTCCCGTACTGTAACGGCTCAAGTTCCATTTGAACCGAGGCGACACGTTCGCGACAGTGCTGCGACGGCCTGGTTTTCGTCCAGCAAACTGATGACCAGTGCAGCGACACTGCATTTTGTTGAATCTATTCTCGCTAAACAAATATCTTTTACAATAAAAACCCCATTGTAGGTCCACCAAAACCTTACAACTATTGCAGTATTGCGAACCCCAAGGTCCAAGAGTTATTCTCTTGCATTGCTAGTGGGCTCACATTAATTCCATTTATGATATTCATTCCATATTTTTCACGCCATTTTCAGGGTTTAGCGTCAGGCTTTACGTAATGGAAGTCAAAACTTATGTAGCCAGCCAGTGATGGCAGCACAATTATATTGAACATTTCACTCTCAACAGTTTTGTATGCTTTGAAAGACTCGACCATTCAAGGGGAGAGTGTAGAAAGCTTTATCCACCAAAGCAGGGTACCTTGGAAACAGATGCCAAGGGTTTTATTAACCAAAGCAGTTTGGCGCTCCTATTGTAGTTGGTATATGCCATGTAGAAGCTAGCCTAAGAGTTACCATACAACACACATGGTCCCTACAGAAGTCAGAAAACCACTATGAAAAGAAAGTTCCCGAGCAGCGTCAAGCGGCAAGGGCTAGTTGTAGCAACCATGCACTCGCTGCGATTGCAAGCAGAAACCACGAGGCCCTGGCTGAAGGAGTGCTTGCTTTGAAGTATGAGTCTGACCCTGGCCGCTGCTTGGGTGCTGCACACACAGAGAGACATCACCAAGACAAAGCATAAGCATTGGGAAGAGCGAAGGATTTAGGAAGGAGGAGATGAAGACCAAGAGGGAAAGAAAAAGGGGAGAAGAGAGAAAGGACAAGAGAGCAAGTGGGGGCAAAAGGGAGTGTGCTGCTCATCCCAGCGGTGTTCTCCGACACATTCACAGACATGGCACGGCGGTCATTCCTTTGCAGACCAACACACCTATGATGGATTTGACGCCCTCATCGTTTTGACTCTGAGTCAAAACGCCGGCGTTTTGATCCTCTTGACGGCCCCTGTCCGAGGGGTACCCCCCAGTTTGACTCTCTGGCAGGAAGGCAAACGAAATATCCAGGGCAGGGGGGCTAGTAAGTGAGGTTGGGGGGAGGGGGGAGGGGGGAAGGGGGGGGGGTGGGCAGGAGTTCTTCCCTGGTGCACTACTAACTGCAGCAATGGCTTCCGTCTCCGCACTCCTCTTATCCACCTTAGCCGGCCCCGTGGCCTCGCACAGGTCTCTGATCGCTTCGAACACCTCATCCGGGGCCTTCTCGCATATAGAGACGCCAGGCTTACTTTAGACGCTTTTTTTTTCGATTTTGGGCTGCCCAGAAAAAAATGGCCAAAGCGTCAAGCGTTTTGACGCTTCGACGCGTCAAACGTCAAAACACCGCGTTTTGACGCTTGAAAAAAACTGGATCTGGCGTCAAATCCATCATAGCCGCACACCCCCATCTCCCCGCTCCTCCACCCACTCTCCCCCACTCTCCCCACACTCACCAGCAACAGGCGTGTTGATTCCAGAGGCATTCTCCGGCGATTACACCAGTAGCAACCCGCGGCAGGTTGGCACGCGGGGACGGCCACCAATGGAGGGGGCGAAGCGCGGGTGCATGACCTGCGTGACCTCTAAATGGGGTTTGATTGGACTTCACATTGGACCTTCAGCTTGCCCTGCTCCGCCGTTCACCCCCCCCTCCTGCCCCCATCACCCCACCCAACCCCCCTTTCCGCCCACTCACCAGCAACAGGCATGCTGATCCCAGAGGCGTTTTCCGGCGCGTACACCAGCAGCAGCCCGTGGCGGGGCGGCACGGGCGGGCGGTCACCAATGGCGGGGCCGAAGGCGGGGTGCATGACCCGCGCCATGACCTCCATTTTGCCGTGCTCCACCGTGTCCCAGTCGTCGTGCAGCACGCCGCCCGTGTCCTTGGAGTTGGGGCCCCACGTGAACCACGTCCATGACAGCTGCTTCTTCCTGGTAGGCGGGAAAAGGAGAGGGACAGAGGGAGGGCCGGGGGTGGTGGGGAGGGGAGGCAGGGGGATTTAAGGCAAGGGGCCTGGAAGAGTGTGCAGCGCACCGCCCGTGTCCTTTGAGACCCTCGTTTCCCCATTCCCCTCAAATCCATCCCCGTTATAGCCTCACCTGATGTAGTTCCTTAGCGCGGCGACCCACTTCATCTCGCGTTGGCTCAGCTGGTCCGTGCCGTCAACGGGCAGCACGATACCCCACTCGCCCACCCACACCGGCGCGATGCCCTGGTCCGACACATACCCCCACAGCCTACGAGTAGACTAAGAAATCATCCCCGTTATAGCCTTACCTGATGTAGTTTCTTAGCGCGGCGACCCACTTCATCTCGCGTTGACTCAGCTGGTCCGTGCCGTCCACTGGCAGCATGCTCCCCCACTCGCCCACCCACACCGGCGCGATGCCCTGGTCCGCCACGTACCCCCACAGCTCGTCCCAATAGCCCTCCAGATTCGCGGGAAACGCGGGATCGTACAGCCATGGCTGGCCGTCTTTGACCATGGGGCCATAGTCGTGAATGGAGTAGACGAGCTTGTAGGGGATGTTGAGCTTGAGCGGGTAGAAATAGACAGGTCGCAGGTTCGATCCCCACCAGCAGTCGTCTCCGTCCAGGCCTTGCACGAAGATGAGCAGGTCGGGGTTGACGGCTTGCACCACGTCCGCGGCTCTGCGAAAAGGAGAAGTGAGGGAAGGGAGTGGTAACATTTGCTACATGAGGAACGGAGATGAGCTAATCGGGGTTCACCGCCGCACCATATGCGCGGTTTTGCGAAAAAATGACAAAAGAGACGAGGCGAAGAGACAAGATATTGCGCTCTGCGCTCTGCGTTCTCCCAGAAACATTGCTCAAAGCACGCAAAGAAAATAAATAGGAGGGGCCGTTGCAAGCGCACCTCTTAGCGGCCGTGCGCCAGTTGTACGGCTCGTTCACGCCGTCCGCCTCCCACGTGACGTCCGGATGCGACGGGTCGCGGTGCGGCTCGTTGAACAGGTCAACGCCGACCACGGTGCGCTCGCCGTAGTAGCGCGACGCGAGCAGGTTCCAGTTGTCGAGCCACACGCGCTCCGGGTTCCCCAGATCGAACCACAGCCCCGCGTCCGCGGCGTAGTCGGGCGGAAGCGCTGGGCTGACGCGCGAGTTGCTGAGGATCACGCGGATTCCGCGGAGCTTCGCGCCCGCAATGACCGCATCCATCACCTCGAGAGTCGATAGACCCTGCGCGGAACGGCGGGGGGAAAAGCGCGAAAGAAAGGGGAAAAGAGGGTGGGCTGTAAGCGGGTGGCGGAGGGAGGAAAGCGGAAAGCGTAAAGCGGGGAACGTGGCAACAAGCGGGAGGCGCCAATTTACGCTTAGCAGGAGGGATGCTGCCTGCCGGCCGCCGACGACAACAACGCGGCGGAGATGCGGCGGAAGATGCCTGGGGAGATTCAGCCAGCAGGTCGCGATCGCGATTTAGCGTCATTTGTTACGATGCGCCATTGAGGCATAGCTCAGCTTTCTGACTAGACCCTGACTTGACTTTGCCTATAATCTGCCTGGTTTGTTCGGATCTTAATCTACCTCGAGTTCCGGGTTTTTCTTGTAGTCGATGGACCCGTCAGTCGGGCGAATTGACGGCGAAATGCACGATGTGGCGAAGTTGAGGCGAATAACATTGAACCCGAGCGACACCATCTGGTCCAGGTAGTCGCTGAGCCCGCGCGCCCATAGTCCGTCTGCGACGCAATTCGCGGCGTCGAATCCGTTCCAGTTGACCCCCGAGAATTGCACCACGCGGCCCGCCTCGTCCAGAATCTGGCTTCCCACTGCGAACCAATAGCCGTCGCCCAGCTGGCTTGCGGAGGTGAAGCGCGGAGCGCCGCAGGAGGCGGCGAGGAGGAGGAGGAGAAGGGAGGCTCGACGGATTGAGGAGGTGGCTCTGATCGCCATCGCGGCTAGAGGGCGGGAGAGGCGAGCCGTTCAGGCGGGTAATGGACGAAACGAACGTTGAAGTATAGTTAATGACTAGAACTAAGCATAGTAAGAGCCTGCGATGGGCAATGGGGTCTACTGCTTGAGCCTGAGATGCTAGGGATCCAGCCTTGTGCTCGGTGTCGAGCTTTCAAGCTGCCGGAAGATATTAGACGGCTCACGCTCTCCCTCGCTCGCTCAATGCTCTATCTACTATGTAACAGGCCTTCAAGCTCATAAAATAGCTCAATGGCCGCAGCTGAATGTCATGTCACAACTTGAGCCAAGGCAGGGCGGGCGGGAAACGAGAGGAACCAAAGTGCCGGATGGGTGGGTATGGGTGGTGATTGGTTGTAGAGATATCTAGTGTGGGCCATGGTCAGACTAAGGCGGTCGTGCGAAGGAAAGGGTTGACGGGGAATTTGTCCGTCTCGACATTCACTCACAACCACCCCCACATGGTCTCCCCCCGTCATCGCGGATTTCAGAAGCTCAGTTGCGCTGCGCCGTGACAATTGACGCGGCGCGAATGGCACGACACTGGCGCTGACACACCCATCTGTCTCCATGGTTACCACATTCGGCATCGCGAAGGTGCTGGGCCGCGTCGCAGCGACGCGATTGGCGGCTGACCGACACAGGTCAGCAGCACTTACAGTAAATTTGCGACAGGGTGAAGTGGCTACTCCCTAATGGTTGCATTATCTGCGTTACAGAATCGTGTTTCCTACACTTCAGGAATTATTCAAGCTCTTATATAAACCTACATTCTACCAAACTTTCATTAACGCTCCCCGATTCTGGCACGTTCTTATATTGGATGGTCGTTTCAAGCAATCTTCCCGCCTGCCCTGTTATGAGCATCTAGTATGGTTGTCAAGTCATCCAAACGTTTCACTCTCCGCCATTCTAGGTTCCTTTCACCCAAGCCGTGAACTAACCTGGACTGCACGAATCACGACCCCCGTGACTAGTTGCTTTCTAGCACTGCTACGGTGTCCTAATAGATTTCGTCTTGGACTAAAGCCGTTGGAGTTCAAAAAGTTCACTGTTGAACGCGCCAAAATGTCTGCCAGGAGGCGTACTTTGCTGAAGGTCATCATTCTCGGGGATAGCGGGTGCGTAGGCTGTTATATTTACCTGCTAGCTTCCAGCTCCTCGTCGTGTTTCGCGTTCGTAGAATCCTCTAACTCCTCCCCATGGTGTTTTTCCCCCGCTTGAATACGCGCAGCGTCGGAAAGACGTCGCTCATGAACCAGTAAGCAGTCAGTGCGCTTCGCTGTTGCTCAAATCGTCGCATATTTGTCGATTAGTTTCGCTATGGAGCTGCTCGTCCTCTGACCATGCCCCCTGCTTTGTTCCTTGTAGATACGTGAATAAGAAGTTCAGCGCACAATATAAAGCCACCATTGGAGCCGATTTTCTAACGAAGGAGGTCCAAGTAGACGACAAGCTTGTAACCATGCAGGTACATCCTAGCTTTTTCCTCAGCGCTGTAGTTTTGCAGATTGGAGGGGGAAAGGAGCGGAAGGAGCGGTCAGATGTGTTGTCGGCTACCGGTAGTCAGCCTTCGTGATCTGGGAGTTTCTTTTTATCGTGAGATCATAACAGTTTTTCGTTTCGATCCAGATCTGGGATACAGCCGGGCAGGAGCGGTTTCAGAGCCTGGGAGTGGCGTTTTACCGGGGAGCGGACTGCTGCGTGCTGGTGTACGACGTGAACGTGATGAAGTCGTTTGAGAACCTCGACAACTGGCGGGAGGAGTTCTTGATACAGGTGCGTGCCGTGGTCACTCATTACAGGTGCGCACCGTGGTGTCTTATCACAGGTGTGTGCCGTTGAACCGTCTTAGAATGTACGGACATGATCGGGAATCGAAATCAACATGATTAACAAGAAAAGCTGTTTAAATTTACGGCAGAGCTGACGCGACCCTCGTGTGTCTTGTCCTTCCGCCACGTGGACAGGCCAATCCAGCAGAGCGAGATCTGTTCCCGTTCGTGGTGCTCGGCAACAAGATCGACGTGGACGGTGGCAACAGCCGCGTGGTAAGCATACGCTCGCTTGCGCATCTCCTCTATTTTCAAATCTCCGCATTCAATAGATCTTCCCTGTCCTGCTTTAGCGCCCTCACATGCCCCATAAAATACCTTCTCTTCCTCATACACTCCCTTTGTACGCTCGTGCCTGTCGCGTGTCTCCTCGTGTCTCTGTTGTGCCTGGCGCGTGCGTGGCGTGCAGGTATCGGAGAAGAAGGTGAAGGCGTGGTGCGCAGCCAAGGGCAACATCCCCTACTTCGAAACGTCCGCCAAGGAGGACTACAACGTGGAGGCCGCCTTCCAGTGCATCGCTAGAAACGCGCTCAAGAATGAAACCGAGGAGGACTTGTGAGTGCCCGCGTGTCCGTTTTGTGGTCTTGCGATCTTGTGTTGTTGCCCAGGTTTTCTTGATCACTAGCAAGCGAACTTCAGCTGCCCTTGCCCTGTTTTGCAAAGATTTGCAGGTGACCATCCATTGGTCTTTCCAATGTTCCTTCCCGTCTGGCCCTCTTCTTTATTTCCTCCACCCCCTGTGATGTGCTGACAGCTACTTGCCAGACACAATTGATGTGAATGCTGCACGGGCTACCAAGGCATCGTCATGTGAATGCTGAAACCAGCAATGGAGCTGCCATTGCCTGGACACCTCCAGTCATTGGAGAGGAGTTATATACACCAGTGCCAATCTTCAGTGTTTGCGATAAAACTGTTACAGTAGTGAATATAGAGTTGCCACAGGGCTTGTACAGCAGTTATTGTAAGCTCTTCGTGAATGTATCAAGAGCAGTGAGGCAGCGTTGCCCCAATGTTGACATTTCACCCCTGCCAGAACATTTAAGATGTCAACATTTCACCCCTAACCCTCAATATGCAGATTTCAACAGCTGAAAAGGGGTAACAAAGGAACAGAAACTTACGTGAAGGGACATGCGCATGATGCATCAGCTATCATGTCGCATATGGACATCGGTGCTGCTGATGCTGCCTCTTGTAGTGCGGTCTCCTCCGCTACCGGTACTTGTGCAGCCTTCTTCCTGCTCGGCCTCTTCCCCCCTGCAGTTGGCTTCTGTGCTTGCAGCGACTCAAATATAGCGTTGGGGTTGATGTCAAAGTACGCCTGGGAATCAGCAACGCATATCCGTGTTGCGTGGAGACAAATGTACCGTATGAATGCTTACTGCGGAAAGCGGAATGGGTGTGGCTGGCAGGCAGCGTGAAGGTTGAGATGAGGAGGCTGAGATTGTGATGGCAAGATGTGGACGTGTGATGATGGAGGAGCAGCGCAGAAAGGCAGCAGTCCGTGAGCCCTATGGCATGTGCATGAACAGAGATGTATATGAATGTGTGGTGTGGGTATATGGGGTTGCGGATGCTCGAGAGAGCATGTGACGCAAAGCAGATACTGAATCTTCTTCAGAGACTGGCTGGCGGGCACGCACCTGGCAGGCATGGCACAGCAGCACGCACCTGGCAGGCATGGCACAGCAGCACGCACCTGGCAGGCATGGCACAGCAGCACGCACCTGGCAGGCATGGCACAGCAGCACGGCCAGCAGGTCTCGTTTGATCTGCGAGCCTTTGGAGAGCTGAGCCACGTTGCTGCACCCCAGGTGCTGCAGGAGCGCAGCCAGGCTTGTCCTGCCCACCCCCACCCCTCTGGGGTCTGCTGCCAGTGCCGCCCTCAGCTTCTGCTCGTGTGTGGCGATGGGTGGGCGGTGGGTGGTAGAGGGTGCAGTGGGTGGCGGTGGGTGAGGTTGGGTGGCGGTGGGTGCAGTAGTGGCAGTGAGTGCAGGGCACAGGGCTAGAGTATAATTAATATCCAGGATTGGGAGAGTTAATTCAATGGCCCAAAATAGCAGGAACATGTTGGTGTATTCAGAGGAGTTACAAATGGTGCGTTACACCTGATGGTGTTCATGAAACATCTAACGGGGTTGTGCTTGATAGGGATACATACACCTGGCATTACACCTTAAGGACTCACAACAGGGCCGAAGCGAGAGAAGAGGAGAATGATGAGATGATACTTGTGGCACGGATCCACCATGGTCTGATGGGTAATGGCATGGAGCGGCACAGCACGGCAGCAAGGCACATGTAGCACAGCAAAGTGACTATTTGAGTCGACTCAAAGAGGAGAACGATGAGATGATACTTGTGACATGGATCCACCATGGTCTGATGGGTGAAGGCATGGGGCGGGCAACGCATGGGGTGGCACATGTAGCACAGCAGCAACCACCACGATTATGTGGAGGCATCAGGATGGATGAGGTTGATGACAAAATGTAATGATGAAACAGATGCCAACATGCTGTGATGAAGCAGATCATAACAGTTGGAATTTCAAGGGTTGTGTGCTTCGAATGAGCATCAACATGCCATGACATATCAGTGCACATGCACCCTCCCCACCTGCAGGAAGAAGCTCTTCTTGGCAACGCTGGGCTCCAACGCGAAGAGCCTCACCAGTCGATCCTCCAGTGCCTCCCTGCGAGATGCCATGCATGCAACCATGCGAGATGCCATGCATGCAACCATGCGAGATGCCATGCATGCAACCATGCGAGATGCCATGCATGCAACCATGCGAGATGCCATGCATGCAACCATGCGAGATGCCATGCATGCAACCATGCGAGATGCCATGCATGGAACCATGCGAGATGCCATGCATGCAACCATGCGGGAGGAGGGAGGAGGTGAGATGCCGTGCACGCAGGTGGTGGAGCAAACAAGGGAGAGCACCGATTGAGTCGGCAGAGGTGCTCACAGGGGTGAGGGCACACAGTGGGGTGAGGGCACACAGTGGGGTGAGGGCACGCAGTGGGGTGAGGGCTCGCAGTGGGGTGAGGGCACGCAGTGGGGTGAGGGCACGCAGTGGGGTGAGGGCACGCAGTGGGGTGAGGGCTCGCAGTGGGGTGAGGGCTCGCAGTGGGGTGAGGGCTCGCAGTGGGGTGAGGGCACGCAGTGGGGTGAGGGCTCGCTGTGGGGTGAGGGCTCGCAGTGGGGTGAGGGCTCGCAGTGGGGTGAGGGCTCGCAGTGGGGTGAGGGCTCGCAGTGGGGTGAGGGCTCGCAGTGGGGTAAGGACATGCAGTGGGGTGGAGTGTTTTAACACGCAGGGGGCTCACTTCTCATTCCTGGCTCTGCGGTACCCATCGTTGTCCGCTATGACACCATGCAGATCCAACGCCTGCTCACACAATGCCACAAATCAAAGGGGTGGTTACGAGACGGAAATCACACCAGCAGATACTCGCACAGGGTACAGGAGCGGGACTAAGCAGCATCATTTGGGCAATTCACACAGTCTAAGGAGTTAAATTCCAGAAAGTAGCAACACTCTCAGACTCACAGCACCACTCTGACACTCACAGCACCCAGCAGCAGCTGAGCTGCTCGAGCCAGCTCCAGGCGATTGGGAGCGACACATGCATGTGCCCTCCGCACACACTCACGCTTCACCTCCTTCTTCTCCACCTCTCCCTGCACTGCTGCCTGCACTCCCTCCTGTCCCTCCTTCCCCTCCGCTTCTCCCCTTTGACACTTCTCTCCCGTCGCTTCACCACCCAATTCGTCCTTCACTCCTTCCTTTTCCTTCTCACGCTGCTCCTCCTCCCTGTCGCCCTCCTCTCCTTTCCTAGCACGCTTTCTCCTTCTCCCTTGCTCGTCATCGTCCTCCCCTTCAACCTCCTCCCCCTCATGTTTTTCTTCCCCCTTGTCCTCCGCCCCTCCCTTACTCTCCAGGCCTGACTTCTCGCTATCCTTTTCCTCTTCCCCCTCTTCCACTTCCTCCTCTTCCTCTTCCTCCTCGTCCACTTCCTCCTCTTCCTCCTCCTCCCCAGCACATGCAAACACAAGAGCCACCACGCTCTCCCACAGCTGCTCCAGCCCTAGAGGCCCCTGGCCCTGGCATGTGCAAATCAGGGTAAGAGAATGTCAAAGGGGGATGGAGGGGGACAGGCAAGAGCGTGAGTGAGGGCCACCACGCTCATTTTTTAGTCGACTCAAAAAGAGTGAGCACCACCACGCTCTCCCACAGCTGCTCCAGGCCTAGAGGCCCCTGGCCCTGGCATGTGCACGGCAGGGTAAGAGAATGTCAAAGGGGGCTGGAGGGGAAGAGGCAAGAGCGTGAGTGACCCTTGAGCCACCACGCTCTCCCACAGCTGCTCCAGCCCTAGAGGCCCCTGGCCCTGGCATGTGCACGGCAGGGTAAGGCAACGTCAAAGGGGGATGGAGGGGGAGAGGCAAGAGCGTGAGTGAGGACCACCACGCCCTCCCACAGGTCAGCCCTTGGGGACCCTGGCCCTGGCATGTGCACGGCAGGGTAAGGAGAACCAGGACGGCGAGACGGAGGGGGAACAGGCGCGGGGCAGTATAAGCAACAGAACTAACACACACTCCTTAGGAATAACATTGCTCCCAGGTGACTTTTGAGTAACACACACTGCCCTGATTTTTGTTGAGTTACTCAAAAGTCACCTGGGAACAGGCCAAGGCGTGACTGAGAACCAAGACTACCATGCGCACGTACAGTATGGGGTATCCCACAGTGCCCCTATCTGACTTGACTTGATTGACTTGCCTGGAGGAATCGGAAGAGCAGCGTTGACTTCATCGACTCCACGCGACGATTCTTGGAAAGAGATGCTGCAATTGCAAGGAATGGCAACACATATAAGATAAGCAATTAGGAAAGGACGGGGGTGATTGAAGAAGGGTTTTGAGACGTCTCAAAACCCTTCTTCAATCACAAGGGATGGCAACACATATAAGATAAGCAATTAGGAAAGGACGGGGGTGATTGAAGAAGGGTTTTGAGACGTCTCAAAACCCTTCTTCAATCACAAGGGATGGCAACACATATAAGATAAGCAATTAGGAAAGGAAGGGGGTGAATGAGGGAAGCAGGAAGGGGTGCGGAAAGGGGGAGAAGGGGGGTTCTTGTGTGATACAGTAGGAAGAAAGAGAGGAAGAAAAGAGGAAAGGAAGAGGTACGTGTCGAGGTTCGCAGCTTGGTTCGCCAAAGGAGAGTGAGGGCACGCATCGATGATGGAGCTTCAGCAGCTGATGGTCGCGCGTGACTGGAGCTTCGATGATGTAAACATTTGAGATTGGAGCTTTGCGGATCGGTCTCATCTCATGTCACCCCATTGTGAGGGTGTGGCGGGGCGAGGGATGTTGAGCGGAGACGGGACATGAGCAGCAGCAAGTGACAGTGGCGGTGAACTGCTAGGGCGGACGTTAGGGCGGTTCAAAAAGGGAGAGGCAACTCACGAGTGATGAGCAGCATAGCGGCGGTGGTGGAAGTTGACTTTTGAGTCGAATCAAAAGTCAACAAGGGGAAAGGCAGCTCACGGGTGATGAGCAGTGTGTGGCGGCGGTGGTGGAAGTCCCTGAGAAGAGCGTCCATGATTAGCAGCAGCAGTGAGTGAGTGGCGGAAATTTAGGGCAGCTCAGTAAAGGAAGAAATGCGCTCACTCACAAGTAGTGAGCAGCGTGTGGCGGCGGTGGTGGAAGTCCCTCAGAAGAGCGTCTATGATTAGCAGCAGCAAACGGCACGATGCGAGCGACTGGGGATGGTGGGGGTAAAGGCAGGGATGACGAGGGGCAGCAAACGGCACATTAGAGACTTCTCAAAAGCCACTCGATCGAAATACTTCCCCCACAAAAGATGTTTTTGGAGCCAGTACTCATATCTATCATCTCCACCACATTGACATTACACGTTAGACGTTGCTTACTCCACTGATACGCCACACGGGATGGCTTACCTGGCACATGGCCTCGTCAGCTGCAGCTTCCTCCTGCTCCGCATCTTCCACTCTCCCTGCTTTCTTCCCCACCCCTCCATCTCTCTCCGTTCCACCCGCTGCTGCTCCCCTGTGTGACTCTCCAGCACCTCTTTCAACCGCACTCGACAACTCCTTATTGCTGTGTGACCTCAGCACTCTGGTGTTGACTGGCTGTACGCTGCTGCCTACTCCAGGTACCACCTTCACCAGCTGTACCTCCCCTGAGCGCTCTGCAGCATGCTGATTACCACTTGGATCCTCCACTGTAAGGTCCTTCACCTCTTCCACTCCTTCCTCACTCTCTTTCCCTCCCTCACTCTCCTTCACTTCCACACACTCCTCCACCTCCTCATCCCCTTCCACTTCCTCACTCTCTTTCACCTCCCCACACTCTTTCACGTCCTCACTTTCTTCCACTTCCAAAGCACTACACTCTACCACACCACTCTCCACCACCACACTCCCCTTCACCTCCTCAATCTCACTCCCACTAACCTCCAGCACATCACCCTCTCCCCCCACCATCTCCACTTCACGCACTCCCTCATCATCCACATCCCCACCCGCCCTCTCCTCACCCCCCGTCACCCCCTCTGCAGCCCGCTTCCCCCGCCCTCCTGCACCTGCCTTCCCCCCCCTCCCCCGCCACTTTTTTCCCTTTCCTCTACCCGCTCCTCTTGAAACCCTCACGTCCTCCACACCTTCCTCCTCTTCCCCTTCTCTCCCATCCCCTTCCTTCTCACCCTCCTCAGTCCTCCCTTCGCTCACGAGCTGATCCTTCCTGGCAACTTCCTCTTCCTTCCCTTCGCCCTCCACTTGCATAATTTCCCTTGTGCCCCCCTCCACTTTTACCACCTCCTCTCTCTTCTTCTCCCCACCCCTGTCAGCGTCTACGTCAACCTTGACCTCAGCATCCACGTCAGCCTCCACGTCAGCATCCACGTCAGCATCCACGTCAGCATCGTCTGCATCGCCACTGCCTTGCTGCATGGCTGTCACCGCCTTGGCTGCAGCAGAGAAGAGACCTGCAAGGCTCTGCAAGCTCAAGAAAAGAGGAAACGAGGATGCATGAGCGACACACTGCATGTTCAGGGACGTTATAATAGAATGCGCACAGGGACACAGCATGAGACACGCGTTACTGAAAAGGATAATGAGCTGCAAAAAAAACCTGAATCTGGAAATCTCATGTCCGTACTTCCCCTTTTCGGACGAAAGGGCTTCAGTGGAAGCTCAAAAGTCGGAAACTGACTTGAGAACGAAGAGGGGAGTTGGCGCACCATGTGTTTGTGGGATGGTGTGGGCGAGTCATAGCCGATGTTGGGCAGCCATGCCTGTCATTATGTCGTGCCGTGCCATGCCATGCCCCATGCCATGCCCCATGCCATGCCCCGTGCCATGCCATCACATGCAATCCCATGCCATTCCCGCAAGAGTCAGGCCGATGGGGATGAGACAAGTGGATGAGACACCATGGTGATGCACATTTGCATGTAACAAAGTTACACATTTTTCCACTCCCTCATGCTCATCTCGCTCGTCTTAGCATTTTCCCCTCACTCCATTCCCGTCACTTCTTGCACCTCATCTCACTCCCCTCACCTCTCTCTCCCCACCCTTCTCCCCTCACCCCTCCTCTCACACCTCTCCCACCACTCCTCCTCACCCCCCATCTCACTCCCCCCACCCCTCGCCCCTCACCTCGTTCCCCCCAGCAGCCTCAGTGAGGGCGAGCAGGGAGGCAGCGCGCCACACCAGCAGCCCCTCCTTGGAGCTGCACTTACCCCTCTTCCCCCACAATCCCACCCCTCTCCCCCCACCCCTCTCCCCCACCCCTCTCCCCCCACCCCCTTCCCCTCACCTCGTTGCCAACAGAGGCCTCAGTGAGCGCGAGCAGCGAGGCAGCGCGCCACACCAGCAGCCCCTCCTTGGAGCTGCGCACCACCTGAGCCATGCGCTGCCGCAGACCCCTGGCAGGCACATGAACACATACTCGTTACAAGGTGACCTGTTACTCGGCTTTTCACCACCTGAACCATGTGCTGCCGTAGACACCTGGCGGGAAGATAATAACCTACTCGTTACAAATTGAACTGAGTCAGCTTCGCATCACCTGGGCAATGCAAGCAATTCACCTGGGAGCAACATACTTGAGAGAGAATCGTCTGAAAGCCATCCAGACTGGAGCAACAATGCCCCTATAAAAGGGAGACTTTCACACCATTCAGCTATAAGGCATTCAAGGAAAGCGTGATCATCAGATTATTAAAATCCACGGAATCATGGAGTGAATGAATGAATGAATGAATGAATGAATGAATGAATGAATGAATGAATGAATGAATGAATGAATGAATGAATGAATGAATGAATGAATGAATGAATGAATGACTGACTGACTGACTGACTGACTGACTGACTGACTGACTGACTGACTGACTGACTGACTGACTGACTGAGTGAGTGAGTGAGTGAGTGAGTGAGTGAGTGAGTGAGTGAGTGAATGAGTGAATGAGTGAATGAGTGAATGAATGAATGAATGAATGAATGAATGAATGAATGAATGAATGAATGAATGAATGAATGAATGAATGAATGAATGAATGATTGAATGAGTGAGTGAGTGATGAATGAATGAATGAATGAATGAATGAATGAATGAATGAATGAATGAATGAATGAATGAATGAATGAATGAATGAATGAATGAATGAATGAATGAATGAATGAATGATTGAATGAGTGAGTGATGAATGAATGAATGAATGAATGAATGAATGAATGAATGAATGAATGAATGAATGAATGAATGAATGAATGAATGAATGAATGAATGAATGAATGAATGAATGAATGAATGAAGAAGGAGGCACCTCACCTGGGAATGTGTGGAGCGAGCGGATGGTGGGTGAGCTCTGACATGGCGAACAGGAAATAGGCCACTGTTGGAGGAAAAAGGGAAAGGTAGAACAGGGGAAAAGGGGAAGGCGTAACGGGGAAAGGAATGTTCAGTCCAGGCGTCAAGACGCTGCAGAATCAATTTGAGCGCTTGATTGGAACATCAGACCGACTTATGCTGCCTGTTACCCAGCACTAAGTGATTGGTTCCCAGCGCTAACTGACCGTCAGCCAGCACTGACGGACCGTTAGTCAATGCAGTGACGGAGTCGTCGGCGAGGTCGGCGTGGTGGCGGATGAACGACTCGATGGACATTCCAGGTGCCTCAAGGACCGTAATCCCAGCATTGACAGCAAGCACCAACGGACCGTTACCCAGGACTAACTGACTAACTGACCGTTAGCCAAGGCGGTGACGGAGTCGTCGGCGAGATCCGCGTGGTGGCGGATGAAGGTCTCGATTGACTCCACCAGCTCGCCCGGCATCATGCCGCCCTGCTCGCCGCTCGCGTCGCCGTTGTCATTCCTGATACTGTCGCCTTCGCCTCCCGTTAGAGTGCGGCCCGAACGCAAGCGTGCGGGCTTGCCTACCATCGTGAGTAATTCCAGGCAGAACGTGGTTATATTATTGAGTCCGTCACGATTCCTGGCAGTACGTGGTTGGTTTTTTTAGTCCGTCAAAATTCCTGGCAGAACGTTGGCTGATGCGCAGGCGTGGGCGAGAATGTGAAGGGTTTCGTTGCGCTTTGGATGAGCGGAGGTTGTTGTTCGTCTGTCGTTCGTACGATATGCTGAGCTTCACGCGCTACTTCCAGACAGCGTGTTCATCACACACAGCACAGCTTGTGTGAGGTGAAGCTCTCATTGTTCACAGAGTGTTCGCTTGAAACGCACTTACGACTGCAACTCCCGTCTGCTTATCCTACCATTCCGGTTTAGAAGCACACTGGGAACTTCGCAGATGTTTGATTGTGGATAGGCAGTTCTGAAATCGCACAAGTGAGTCTCACGAGATGGAGTTGATACGTATAGAAAACGGATTTCGGCCTCCTTCACTGTATCAATAATACCTCTCTCCTTATTGTGCGACTCACAAATGCGGATAACAGTGCAATCTCTCCCCCATTCCGCCCCAATTTCATTCCCTGGTTGCTAGCATCCGCCATTTCGAGAATCCAGACCATTCCACTTGGGATTTCCGCCCTTTTGTTTTTCACTCCAAGCCGCAGCGGCCATCTTCCCGCGTCTCCTAACCGAATTCGCAAAATGCTCGCCTGTGCAGCCCCGCCCTCCCTCCCCACCTCCCTGCACGTCACAGGCTCGGCGCGCACTTCTCACAGCCGCAGTCGCAACCATTGCAATAGCGCGACTATTTATCCTCGTCATGAGCCATCTGAGCGGGGAGACGGGACGAGATCCTCCCAGTTGCTAGGTTTCCACAACTCGGCGTGCTTGCAAGGCGGCGCGACTCGAATCTCCTGCCATCCTCCTCCTGCCGCTGCAAGGCGAAACTCCCCAAAAAGGCAAGTTGACGTGCCGCGTTGCCTGTACTCGCCTCATCAACCACGTTTGTTCCAGCTTCGCCATCCATTATCCTCATCAGAATGTGACTCACTCTCGTCCTCGTCACGAGCATCAGGAGCCATCCGCGATTTTTGAGGCGCCTAAAATTTTCAACTTCGTCATCCATTATCCTCATCAGAATGTAACTCACCCCCGTCCTCGTCCTTGTCCTCTCTATTCCCCAACAGACGAGCATCTGGCGCCATCCGCGCAGCGATCGACGCGTTCGTCATCGCCTTCCAAGGCACGCTCTTAAAGCCCTCCTCCAACGGTCTCCTCGAGCCAGCAGCCGAGGCGCTCCGAACCACCTCTCTGCCCTTCTACGTCCTCACCTCCTCCTCCTCTCCCTCGCCTGCTGACGTCAGCGCGCTCCTGAAGCGCGATGCGGGAGTGGATATTCCCGAGGACTCGCCACGGATCATCTCAGTGGCTGGAGAAGGGGAAGGGGAGGGCAAACTGGCTGCTCTTCTCGCTGTGCGTGTTCAGTGTCTCCCTTGTCCCCGCCGCACTTGTTGCCCTGTGGTCCCGTGCTATGTCATCCCATGCCATGTCATCCCATGCCATTCTATGCCATGTCATCCCATGTCATTCCATCCCAGCCTATTCCATGACACATTATTCCACATCCCTCCTCACGCCACGCTACCCATGCAGGTGAGCAGCAGGCCTCTAGCCCAGGACACAGCCAACACAATGCATTACATCGATTCGAATCCAGCCACTCTCTAAGCATGATGTTTTCTTCCATTCCATCTCATGATGCCACCCACGCAGGTGAACAGCAGGCCTCTAGCCCAGGATACAGCTAACACAATGCATTACATCGACTCAGATCTAACCGCCCTCACCCTCGCAGCCAGCCAACCAGAGCTCGCCAGGTGGCAGCTGTACCACGCGCAGTGGAGCGAGAGTGGAGGAGGAAGCGAGGAGGAGACACTTCATCCTCGCATCAGACCGATCGCGTGAGTGGAACGATTTTTTAGGCGCCTCGAAAGACGTGAGTGGATTGTTTTTTCAGGCACTTGAAAGGCACTTGAAAGGAGACACTCACTGCTCTCACCTCAGCGCCTGTTTGCTTCACAGCTTCTCTCCGGCCCTTGTCTCCTCATTGCCGGGGTATTTCCCGCGCAATGGCTTACAAGCTTCCTCCCCCTTCTCCCTTCCCCGCTTTCCTCACGAGCTTCCTCCCCCTCACACACTCCCCTTCCCCCCTTCCGCCTTCCCCCACTTCTCTCTTTTGGTGCGAGCAACACCAGTGTGAAGGATCTAGATGAGCTGCTGCGGTGGGGGCTGCTCATGGGGGTGAATGACGGCTGCCAGGAGTATGAGGATGGCACACCTGCCACCTGACATACACACCACTCATGGACCCTCTGTCTGTTGTGTGCCTGTCCAAACAGGCCAATTTAGATTCTTGTTTGGAGCTTAAAGCTCGCGGCCCAAATTGTTCAACCTTAGTAAGGTTGACCTTTGGGTGGCGAGAGAAGAAGTTGACTTGTTGGGAGTTGGGCTGTTTGCTTTCGCCCAGTTTCGCGCTAGACCCTTGGGGTTTTCGTTGACACGGCAAACCGCTGGGAGCAACCTGGGTTTGCTTCGAGAGTCCCAAATTGCAATCAACATATTGTTGTTGTTCCCTGCTCTCCCATTCGACAAAAAATATCTGGCCAATCAGATTGCATCTCACTTCTTGTAACCACCCTTCGCAACCCAAACAGCACTCAAAACATCACCCCCGTCAACCTTAGTAAGCTTGGCCAGCGCGCCCCGCAATTTGGGCCGCGAGCTTTATAAAAGGCGAGAGCGTGGAAAGTGTTTGTAGAGGGGTGGGATCTATCCTTCCTACACCTTCCTATCTGATGACAAAGACAAGGCACTCCACCTTCCTAGGAATGCAAGGCCTTCCTTCCTACATCGGACTACAAAATACAACTGCAGTAACATTCTTCTATGATTATGTCTATAATGCCTGGGGCTACTGTAGATGCATATTACCGGTATATGAATTCAGTGTTCCTTCTTGGGGCCCTCTGGGATCCTGCATGTTCTCTCCCTCTTGCTATCTTTGCATCAGGGAGGGCCTACCTTACCTTCTCAGGGGACTGAGAGCATTTGCTTCTAGCAGTAAAGCATCTTGACTTGGTGGCGCCTGTGGACATGCAATTAGATTCACTCAGGGTTCTTCTAGCCCCCTCGGACTCGGACTACCGTACATATCAAATGAAGAAGGCCCCACTTTCTTGAGGTCTGCCAGGGCCTCGGCTTTGTGCCAGATGAAGTGGTTGATGGTGCCGGAGGAGCAGAAGATGCACTCGGGGTTCTTCTTGGTGCCCTCTGGAATTGTATGCACCCTCTCCTCCCTCTCCTACTCTCCCTACAATCAAGGAGGCCCCACTTTCTCGAGGTCTGCCAGGGCCTCGGCTTTGTGCCAGATGAAGTGGTTGATGGTGCCGGAGGAGCAGAAGAAAATGCACTCGGGGTTCTTCTTGAGTGCATCTGGGTCCGCACACTTCACTGATGCTGGATCCGCCGTTGTGTTTGGTGGTGCCTTTAACATGGGGCTGGGAGGAGGGGCAAAGGAATGGAGTGGAAGGGAAGGGATGGAATGAGAGATGCAAGTGCGTTTGCTGGCTTGAGCCTTTGTGTCAGGGGCTCTACTTGTTGGGACTGCACACTTCACTGATGCTGGATCTGCCGTTGTGTTTGGTGGTGCCTGCAACATGGGGTTGGGAGGAGGGAGGGAGGGAAAGGGACAGGTACAAATGTATTTTGCGTCATGCTACACGGTAAATGCTTGGGGCCATCTGGGTCTGCACACTTCACTGATGCTGGATCCGCCGTTGTGTTTGGTGGTGCCTTTAACATGGGGCTGGGCGGAGGGGGCGAAGGGAAGAGAAGAGACGAGAAGAGAAGAAAAGGGATAGAATGAGAAGTGCCAATGAGTTTCGCTTAGGGTTTGAGCCTTTTGTCGCGGCTCTTCTTACCAAGTTGGAGATGGCATTGGGGTTCTGGAGCGTGGTTGTGGTGGTACTTGGGGCGAGCAGCAACCCCCAATAGAGCGTGCGGAGCAGCACAGAGGGTCCCCAACACTCACCTCTTATCGCAGATCTGGTTCACGGGTGGCTCTGTAATAGCATCGGGGTTCTGGAGCGTGTCGTAGTACTTGGCGAGCATGAGCGCCCAGCAGAGAGTGATGAGCAGCAGGGAGTGCCAAACACTCACCTCTTATCGCAGATCTGCTTCACAGGTGGTTCTGTAATAGCATCTGGGTTGTGCAGCGTGTCATAATACTTGACGAGTATGAGCCCCCAGTAGAGCGTGCGGCCGGTCCACGTGCACGCGTACGTTGCAAACTGGTTTGCCGCCTGCACCAGCCGCTGCACCTCCTCGTCGTTCTCCTGCGCCCACCGCACCTTTTCAGTCAGGTCGGAGAATCTGGGGGGAATGGGAGAAGGGGAGTATGGGAGTACAGACAGTGAGCTGTTTGTACCAGCCCCCCCGAAGCCCTGAGCCGCCTGCACCCGCCGCTGCACCTCCTCGTCGTTCTCCTGCACCCACCGCACTTTCTCTGGCAGGTCCGGGAAGCTGAGGGGAGATAGGGGGAGGGGGGAGGAGGGGAGGAGGGAGGAATGAGGAGCGGAGGAAGGGTCGAGGGAAGTGACGACGGGACAGATGATGAGAGGGAAGGAGACAGGGAAAGAACAAGGAGGCGAGTGTGTGTGCGTGTGATAAGAAGACCATAAACCCGCCCATGCCTTCAAGAGCCCTGCTCACTCACGTGCGAGTGGTGGTGAGCCAGTGCACTCTGTCCTGCAGCAGCGGCTCGTAGAACTGCAGGATGGGCGTCTGAATGGCTAACATGGTTACCAGCAAGCACAGTTACCACAGACATGGTTACCAGCAGAAACAGTTACTCACGTGCGAGTGGTGGTGAGCCAGTGCACTCGATCCTGCAGCAGTGGCTCATAGAACTGGAAGATGGGCGTCTCCTGGCGGATGCTCAGCTGGTTGGACCGCAGCACCCCGCACGTGCG